GAGCCCTATCCTCCGAGACCCAGCCTGGTGCTAGGGGCTGGGTCCCCCCGTGCCTGCAGCAGGCTGGGCTCCTTGAGTGGGGGCCCCAGCTGCAGGGGTGGAAGGGTGCATCGTAGCTGTGGAGGGTCCTTCCCCGACTCCTCCTCGGTGTATATTTAGCGGGCAGGGTGGGCAGGGGAGGAATGCCAGGAAGCCCTGAATACCATAGCACCCGTGGAGGGGGCCCGAGAGCTGGGTGGAATGGTGGGGGGAGGCTGTGGAGACAGGGAAGGGGCAGGGGATCCCGAGCTGGCTTTAGGAGCAGAGAGCAGTTCAAGGGCCTGGGGGGCGCGGGTGCCCTCTGTCCATAGAAGGACCGAGTGACCCAGTCTCCCGGGGATGTGAGGGACCATGGACAGGAGGCTGGGTAAAGAGCTCCGTGGTGCCAGGGATTGGGCAGGGCCAGCTGCAAGGACTCCTGCCACACCGAGCAGCTGGCACCTGGGTCAGGGAGCAGCGTGTGGGGTCCTTGGACAGGAAGAGTCCTTGTTCTTCCGGGTGCCCACACTCTCGGAGCTGCAGTTCCACTTGGGACACAGCCAGCTCTGGAGCAGCCAGTGGGGAGAGGGCAGAAGGGCTTCTCTGTGTCTTCCATTAAAAGTACTCTGAGGCCACGGCCTCGGTGAAGGAACCACTGTGTGTGCGCCTGAGTCCAAGTGGTGACTGTGGGCCACCTCACCCACTTCCTCTGGCTCAGGGCCTGCTGGACACACTACTCAGAAGGATGGTGGTTTATGGTGCTTTTTCATCAACAGTGCCTGTACCATTTCCCAGGACCCAGGGACAGTTCTGCAGACCTTGGCCTCTCAGCCCCAGGGACGGTCCCCGGGCGCCAGGACAAAGGCTTGGCCCCGTTGGTGACCTCCCCAGGTGAGTGGAGCAGAGCAGCCAGATCCCAGACAGCTGCCTGCTTGGCCTACAACTCCTTTCCCTGGCACACTGGATGAGTTCTTGGGGTCCTGCACTTCCATTTCCCAGGTGGGGAGGGACACGAGCTTGAGGCACTGCAGCCAACAGAATTCCAACATGGGCCCATGGTCTCCATCTCTGTCCCTGGTGTGACTCTCAGGACTCCGTTGCATTTGTGCAGTAGGGATTTACAGTTAGGGAGACCTGCACCACAGGGACCCAGTGGTGGCCAAATGTCAGGTGCCAAGGGGAAGGGTGCTAAGTGACCTGGTTGCCAGTCCAGCTGCCTCCTGTAGTAGTAGCCTAGTGGCCTTAGATCACCATCATCCCCAAGCCCTAGTTTCTACATCTGCGAAGCAAGAAACTGGCCCAGGAATCTAAGCCTTTATTGTTATTGTGATGCAGATTCTTTGGAGCCGAAGGGAGGCCAGGATTAAGGCCAACTCCCCCGGGGAGCACTAGTCAGATGGATGTAGGTGGAACCTTGGTTTTATGGAAAAAAGAAGCAGAAGAAACTGTCACAGGCTGGGTTTGAGGGCCCCCAAGGCTGAAATAAGAAACTTAAGCCACCCATTTAAAATAAGTATGCAGGTTTGCTGACTCCTGTCATGGAAAAAGAATTTTCAGGATGCACCAGTGAAAATGAGGCACGAGAAGGATTTATTAGAGGAAGATACAGGATGCACTCAGGAGCAGAGTGTGGGTGCTCAAGGAAATGAGGCACAAGTTATAAGCCAGGGCAGGGCCCACATGTAAAGGCTGTTATCAGTATGGGTGACCACAATGTGTATTCTGCCTGCCAGGTCACAGTGCAAGCCATCCATATGGGTTTAAAGAGGAGATAGTGTCAGACAAGCTGTCTCCATGCAGCAGCTTTCTGGGCTGTAGGTAGCTGAAGGAAAAGGAAATTTGCAGGTGAAAAGCAAATGAGCAGAGCCATATGTAGCTGAAAGGAACTTGCTCAGGTGTGCTGTTTGGGGAGAAGCGAAAAATAAATAAATTGGGCTTGTGTTCTGAAGCTGCAGATTTTCTTTAAAAGTACATTTTAAAAATTCTTAATTTCCTGGTCTATTTTGAACCTAGTTTTATTTCTTCTATCCTACTCCCCCCCCACACACAAACATACATACACTTTGGTTTGTTTTTTGGGGGGTTTTGGGGGTTTTTTTGGTACTGGGGATCAAACTCAGGACCATGCCCTTGCGAGACAGGCAGCGGTACCACTGAGCTAAATCCCTGGGCCTTTGGTCTCTTATTCTTAAGGGGTTGCAGAAGGCTGAAGTTCCCTCTTCAGTGAGTACTTCAGGCTGAGAAGCAGTGTTGATTCTGCCTAGCCAGGACCAAAAGTCTCATCCTGACTGATCTAAAGGAGACATAGGAATATCAGGTTTTATCTTTTTTTTTTTTGGTACTGGGGATTGAACTCCGGTCCTTGTGCTTGCGCAGCAGGCAGCGAAACCCTGAGCTAAATCCCCAGCCTCGGGTTCTATCTTTTGAAAAAGCATCATCTTTTGGGCCCGGGATTTAGCTCAGTGGTTCTGCCGCCTGCCTCGAAAGTGAAAGGTACGGAGTTCAATCCCCAGAACCAAAAAAAGAAACAACAGAAAAGAAAAAGCATCACCTTTCGATAGTCTGAAAATGAAGGTATATGAAACACTAGCCCACGACAACAGTGAATCATGCAACAGGCAAGAATTCCAATGCTCAGTATCCTAACCAGAAAAATTAGGAGTATTTTTCCACTGGGTTGTTCCAGAGAACCGGGATGCCACATCGAGTCATTAAAGCTTATGGCAGAGTCTGACATTGCAATGATTTCTGAACATAGATCATGTAATGCAGAGGGCACATTTGCAGAGTTGTGAGGAATGTAAACACAATAATCTTATTTCAGCTCTTGTTCTCCAGTCAGTAGCAAACAAGTCAGTATCTCTTAACACAACAATGTGATTACAGCCCTAGGTAGGAATCCACCCCATATCTTGGGTGGCATTGCTCTATTTATTATAAATATGTGGGGTTTTTTGTTCCCAACAAAGGAATGCTAGTATAGTAGATGTCAGTCAAATATGTTCATCCCATATCTGAAAATATTTATCTGTAAAACAATCGTTATATTTCATCATGGGAGTTTTAGGAGTGTGGAGTAGATCAGGACCTCTATATTTCCATATCTGAATATTAACTGTGGGTCAAGAAAAATTTTTCCCATGGCCTTTTTGATGAAGTCTCATCTATTGGTCACTGAGAGACATTAGACCTGGTTGCAAGCTTAAAAATTATTGCTGTACTTTGTAGCTGTTCTATAAAATTTTGAAGTTTTATCCAATCACTTCCCTGTAAAGGTGATACCTATCATGTTAGTCCAGACGCACTAGAAGTGAGGATTTCTCCACAAATCCAGGATGCATCTTTGTTAATGCTTTTGGCTTACTGCAGTCCCCAGTCAAGGAAAACATTAGTTCCCCCATTGGAAAACGGTATAAGGGTTAGGGGGAGAAAAAATGAATGGTCTGACAATGACCACAGGTGAGAACGTGACAACGTGACACATGATCCTATGCATACACTAAGCAATGACTCTCTTCAAGGAAAAGAAAACAAAGTGAATCCCTGAATATGTTCCCTTTCAGACCCAACATCTGCTAGTTTTCTTGCCTCTCTTCTCTGAAGCTAGAACTGGGAACCTTAACAACTAACTGCAAGATAATGATGTAAATAATCACAGAAATATGGAGTGAGTGAAATTGCTCTGGTCCCCAGACAGGCGCCCCTCTTCCCAGTGAAAATTTTGTAAATGCTCCCAGGATCCGCAGAGCACCGCAGGAATGCCAGGGCCCTGTCCCGCATCCACATCTCCCCTTTACCCCACGCGAAAAGTGCCTCTCTGCGCTGAAAGTGAGCAGGAAGAGGCCAACGTGTCCGTCCACACACACACACACACACGCAGGCACGCACACGGGTGCCAGAAGGTGAGCTCTGTTCATTTTTTCTGCACGGTGTCTTCCGCAATGACCACCAGGTGGCGTAGGCGCACCTATCCAATCCTGGCTGGAATGGGAGGTGGGGTGGGAAGGGTTGGGTGTCAGTGACTGAAAGACCAGAACCCCCAAGCCCGGTATTGATACTGACTTTTCCCCTACCGAGCCGGGGGTGAGTGAATAAGTGAGGTTGCCAAGTGTTGGTATCTAGGAGTGGAAGCCAGCCCTACCTGGAGAGGGAGCAGGGAATGGTAGTGATTTTTTTTCTCACTATGTCATTCAGGCTGGCCTCCTTGAACTCTTTAGGCTTGCCTGGAACTCACCAAGTGGGACATGGGGTCCCTGCTGGGTTCAAAACCTTCCTCTTCCCAACCACTTCACTCCAGGCCCCACCTGCAGACAGCGTGGGGTCCGACTTCACCTCTTCCCCCGACGGCAGTGAGAATCTGTCCGAGATCCCCTTGGCCCAGAAAGGTGCCCCTTGCCTGGCATCACCTACACTGCTCAGATCACCCAGCCACAGAAGAGGAAAGGTGTTGAGAGGTGCCCTTGATCCTGGATTGGCATTCCTGTGTCCTCTGCAGAGGGAAAGGAGATCCTGACCAAGTGCCTCCCAGTGAGGGCTTTTCCTGGCGGCTCTCACAGGCCCAGGCCATAGAGGGGCGCCACTTGCTGGCACCTGCCATAGAGCGCAGCAGTCTGTCCCTAAACTCACTCAGCGAGGCTGATGGTGCTCGGCCTCCTGGTCCCACGCTGCAGCATGCTGCCAGAGGGGACAACCTGTCCAGCAGCACGGGTGAGGTCCCCTCCTGGGTGATAGGGTATCAGGCTGATGGCCCTCGGCCCTGGCTGGCTGGCCAGAAGAAAACAGACAAGAAAAGAGAGGAGTCACTGGAGGAAAAGACAAGGAAGCAGAGGTCCCTTGAGGTCACAGGGCAAGGGGTGAGGCAAAGGACAGGGGATAGGTGGGAGGGATCCTGAGGCCTGGGTTCCTCTGGGGGCCTCTGGGTACCTCCAGCCCTGCACTGCAGTGGAGGCACCACCCTCAGCATCGCCTCCACCCCCAGGCCACAACCGTAGCTGGGGCAGAGGCCTACACAGCTCTCGACCTCACCTCACTCTTCTCCAACCAACTCAGCTCTCCCGCCCCAAGACACACATCCCCCGTCCCCATCCCCGTCCCCAAGAGAGCACCGTGGGCCACAAGGTGCCAGCGTACAGCCACCCAGCAGCCGGTAACCAGCATCCAGGAACGGCTAGCCTGCCTCTGGCCCCAATCAGACTCCCTCCCAGCGAGGGCGCCGGTCAGTACCAGCAAGGGAGGGAAGGGGAAGCCTTGGCCAGCCCGGGGAGGAGACAGGTCAGGCTCCCGCCCCTGTACCTGGCCACTAACAGGAGCACGATTCTCAGAGTATTCAAGTGACTGGCAACTTGGGGCTGTGCCCCTAGGGAGCTCACGGCACTGATCCTGGCTCTTTCCTGTTGCAGGCTCTGGGGATGCCTTACCCCTTACTGTCACCTCAAAGCCAGCAGGCATTACCCGGCTGCCCACTCGTGGGCCACACCAACCCCATGGCCCCCAGGACAAAGATGGGCTCTTCCGACCTAACTGAGGAGCCCTCCCTGGGACCAGCTGCTCTGCCCTTGAGACTGAATGGGGTGTAGCTGGGAATGGGAAATGGAGGGGGCCAGACGGGGATCACACTGAACAGGAGCTCAGAAGCTCAGAAGGCGGGGGCTCCTGAGACCCAGAAATTCTGGGGGTGTCTGCCCGACCCTTCCATGCTTTCATCCCCAGGGGCGGGATAAGCCCAAGAGGCACAGCCTCCGCCCTGGACACTGCGGTATTGCCAAAACCCTGCACCGACCTGTGGCCAGTCTCGGCCCTGGCTGTGGGGGCGGAGCTGTAAGCACCACGGTGCTCCTGGCCCACAGCTGGGGCGGGGGCATGGTGGATCCTGGGAGAAGGGACCACCGGCCTTCACGTAGGGTGGGTGGGGCTGGGAAGGGATCTAGGTTTGCTACTTTGCAATGGCTTTTTCCCTCTTCCTCTTTACCCCCGTCCTCCCCCCGCCTTCCTTTTTATTAATAAAACCCCACTTGTGTTTTCATGGTTGCGTTGGAAACCAGACCTCGGGACGTCCGTGACTAAGACTGAACCAGCTCCCTTCCTCCTCCCTGCAACGCCCTGCTCTCCTCCTGGCTGGGGAAAGGGTTTTCCTCCAGATCCAAGGCCCGTCCCCAGGAAAGGCAGGGCTAGAGCAAGGTCCAGTTTGTGTCCCCTTCCCAGCAACCCCCACACTTCCCCAGGCCCCTCCTAGGAGAGAGGCCAGGGTCTTGGGGTGGCACCCACAGAAAACCTCCCAGCTGAGAGGAGGGAGCTGGGCCCTGGAGATCAGGGCTCAAAAATTGACCAATTAAGTCCCCAGCTGCAAGGTGAGAAAACTCCTGCCAGGGGTAGGCACCTTGGCGTCCCGCTGTCCTGTTCCAAGCTGGGGTGGGGCCTCTCAGGGAAAAGCTCAGTGAAGGTCAGGGAACTCTCAGACTTGTGGGGTCTCCCTGGGTGCTCTTCCCTCGGCTGGTGGTTCATTCATCCCTCCACCCCTCTGAGCATCTGCCAGCAATGATGGTCCATGTTACACCCACCAAGAAAGAACCAACCAGAGACCGATATTAAATCCACACAGGAGTTTATTACCGGCCGGACCTGAGCTGAACATCAGACTTGAGACCTGAGTGGGGGGAGATTAACATACTTTATACACCTTTGAGGCCAGCAGTTTCTAGGCCCCCTATGAGATAGAACTAGCAAAGCAAGCAAAATGTACAGAAGCGGAACGTCCTGTGGTTAGAACATTTGTAAAACAATAGTTGATTAATTGTTGTTTCTAAGAGACTCTCTAAGGGGAGGAGGTTTCTAAGCTTCCTCCTTTTGAGTTCATGTAAAGGGCAGGCAGGTGGGTCGCTCAGCAGCAATATGGAGTCTGTCTTGCTAACTAGGGTCCTTCAGTCCACACCTGTAATCCCAGCAGTCTGGAAGGCAGGATGGTCAAAAATTCAAGGTCAGCCTGGGCAGTTCAGCAATTTAGCAAGACCTTGTCTCAAAATAAAAATGGGGTGGGACAAGATGTAGTTTAGTGAGAAGGTCTTGAGCTCAATCCCCAGTACTGCAGAATTTCTCCTTTCCCCTTTCAAAAAATTTTTTTCCACTGATCTTTTTTTTTTTTTTTTGGTACCAGGGAGCGACCCCAGGTCCTTGCACTTGGGCAGCAGGTGGTGAAACCACTGAGCTAAATGCCCGGCCCTTTTTCCACTGCTCTTATTAGGATGTGAACTTAGGTGCAGGTGGTCTGTAAGGCCACTAATCTTTTAAAATATATGGAGGATGTGCCTGGAGCTATAGGTTGTCTTCAAGCAGTAACTGCTTCTACAGCTGGAGAGAAGAGCTCTGCTCAGAAAATCATTACTCTGACATTAAGACTTGTTTATTCTTTAAGGATTTCATTTCTCAGGAAATAAATGCAGGGAAGTCTCAGCTAATCTTTTACCACTGCATTCTTGTAGGATTTGAACAAGTCACACTAAGTGACTAAAATGACTTTTCATTTCAAAATAAATGATAGGCTGGCCAGGGATTTAGCTCAATGACGCTGCACCTGCCTCGCAAGCACAAGGTCCTGAGTTCAATTCCCAGTACAAAATTACTTACTTACTTACTTAATTAAAATAAAAATATTGGCTGGGGATTTAGTTCAGTGGTTCCGCCACCTGCCTTGCAAGTGGAAGGACTCAAGTTCGATCCCCGGTATCAAAAAAATAAAAATATTGATAGTGGGGTTTTGCTTTTAGCTGTCCACACTTTAATGGATTTTTCAGTACTTCTTCCTGTGGTTCATGATGGTAAACATAGAAATATATAAAGAACCTTGTTTTTAGAGTTACAAACCATTTGTTAGTGGTTGGAAATCTGCAAATTCTAGATTCTAGAGTGTTGTGGTTTTGTTTGGCCTTAAATATTAGGTGGGGCCATTGTCAAGAAAATAAGAAAAACAGAGAGTTGTTTTTAAGAATTCTGAATCCAAAATAGTTTTGCTGTAATACTGTTGACTGTTTCATGGATTATTTTCAGGTAGTGATACTACTAATCGGTAAACATTTAATTTCCAATTGCTACCGATTCTAAAGAAGTTGCATTCTTTGGAATAAGTAAACTACTTTGTGGCTTGTTTGGCTCCTGCCTGACAAGATGCATGCAGCACGTATAGTTTTACCCAACCCTGGCTTGACTATCTTTTTTTTTTTTTTTGATACTGGGGATCGAACTCTGGTCCTTGCGCTTGCGCAGCAGGCAGCGAAACTGCTGAGCTAAATCCCCGGCCCCTGGCTTGACTATCTTGTGGAGATGGGAGTGGGAGGGGGAACAGGAAATAGACAGGGCCAGAGCTTGTGAATCATGTTTGGACATCAATGACCTGACAGTACTGTTTGGCCTGCGGCCAAGCCAAATCGCTAACCGTATTTCCCTACGTGAAACTGAGTAACCTTTAATAAAAGAATAAGCACACACAAGAAAAAGTGTAAGGTGTTATTACGGGGTGATGGTTGGGTGTTATTTCCAGGTGCGAAGCTTTGATCACTGCAAAGGAAAGCCTCAGTCACTTTCCTCAAGCTTTGGGTATGGGCTACGTAATAATTATTGGTTCATGGCCAACCTTCCAATATTAACACATTTCTCAAGTCCTCGACCCGGCCTCCAGTTGCCTCTGAAGAGCGCAGAACGAACTTCGCGCTGCCACCCTTCTCAAGGTCTGCGTCTGCACCCGGAGAGATATTGAGGCATCTCCTAGCAACGCGCGGACCGGGGCCAAGACCCCGCCCGCTAAACGGCCTCAGCGGCGCACGCTGGGAAATATGTCTTCCCCGCCTGCTCCCCTTGAGTCTCTAATTAGGGGTGAGCTCGCTGTGGACTACAGCTCCCAAGATCCCAAGCGCCATCTTCTCGGGAAGCCCAGGACGGCGAAGAGCGCGTCAGGGGCGAGCAAGTTGGAGCTGTGAAGGAATCGGGGATTGCTGGTACCCGTGACTTTGGGTAGTACAGGTCCTGACCGCCGCGTCTCCCGGGGGACAGCGCGTAGCGGGGATTTGAGGGACTGAGAGGACCACAGCCTGCGCTCCAGGCCAGACAGCTTGACGCGCGAGGCGTGATACATTGAGGGGCGCAGCGTCGGAACGGACTGGGGATTCTGGGAAGGACTGTGGCGTAGGGGCGGGCTTGAAATTTTTAAAATAACTGGCCTGTAGTTGGCTGAGTAGATGCGATGATGCGTGTTTACCCTGGGGCCCTGTTCCGGTTACTAACCGCTGGTAGAAAACTTCCGCCGTGTGGGAAGCTGGGGCATGATGGATAGATGGCAGAAGTTCCTCGATTTGTTACGAGCTAAAACGAATTTGGACTTGTAGGTCTCCGAAGTTGCCGTTGCAGAGAAAGAGAAACACAAGCATTCCGAGTGGCCTCTCTCTGGAATCCCAGATAAACGGTCTGTTAACAGGACAGGCCAACACCTTGGAGAAAGAGATGCCTGCCTCTGGCTCCGTTCTCCCAAGGCTCGCTGAAAGGTGGGTTTTGGTAAAGTGGAGGAGGAAGGAGAGCGGTAGTTTTGAGGAAAACTATTCTAAGTGGGGTGAGGCCGGTTCACAGCTAGTGTGAAGGGAAATTTTTCCACCAGTGGAAATTGTGTCAAGGAGAAACCAGAGATCACATTCACTCCCTGTGCTGAATGCTGCCCAGAAAGTAGTCATGAGTGCTGCCTGGAAAAAGTTTTGGCCACAGTGCCAGGTACCCACCACCTTTCTGAAATGGGTCCCTGCCACTTCCCACACCCTCTTTCAGGGGAGAAAATGCCAATCACTGCGTTTCAAGTACTGGAGACGCCTGAGAAAGTCCATTAAGTTATCCAGAACCTTGGCTTTTCATCAGAATCTCTCCCCACTATGGAATTTTTAATTTATGGAAATAGATTTTGACTTCATCAAATGGGTAAAGTGAGGGAAGTGTTGATAACCCTGGGAATCATGCACTGTTCAACTGCACCTTCTCTTCGTCTCTCTCCCCATTCCCTCATCTCTTAGTACCCTTTCCGTTCTTTTCATTAGGGGAGATGACCCTGCTGTGGTCAGGATTCACATGGCCTGGACAGTGCTGTGAAAGAGCTGCGTGCAGCCCCCAGAGCCCTAAGATGGTAGGCAGAACACAGAGTGAAATGTGTGGAGATGTAAACACCACCCTTCACCCTATTCCTGGACCCCAAAGATCTTGACTGCATGGAATACTTTGGGGACTGAGTGACAAGGACCAAGATATGGTCCCCAGAGAAGAGTGATAGGTATTAGCTTTGATACCAAATTTAAGCAGTAAGCAGGGTTTCTTCTGAGCCTCTGAATGTCCTGCTTGGAGTGTTTTTAAGCATCACTACTATTGAGGATTCTGGTACATGGAATAGATAAAACATTTCCAGTCACTTTACATCCTGGCTGGGAGGATTTGCATGTGACATCTAGAAATTGGGGAAGAGAGACTTACATCAGTTCATTGTTCCACTGCTGGTTAGTGGGGGCGGTTTCCATACTCTGAATAAATCCATTTAGAAACTAGGAAAGCATAAAGGACTTCTGTCTTTGAATGCCATCAGTGTTCCTTCCTGTGGTGACCTAGCAAAAGACAATACAATTCATTCTCCATTTCCCATTTTCCATTCTCAAATGTTCACCATTTGATTTTGTTAATGTGATTTGTTTCTCCCGTTTCAGGCACCAAAAATCAAGAAGGGCTTGAAAGGTGAGTGGAGAAATGAAACATTACCCTGAAGCCAAATATATATCTTTTCCCTCTTTGATTCCAACATAATTTAAATATATCTGCATTTAATGTTCCTGGTGAGGAGCTGGGGATGTAGCCACATGGCCAGCATTTGAGAACTGGATTCTATTTCCAAGACCTCAAAAAAAGTTTTAGTTGAGAATCTTGCTGTTACTTCAAGTCTGTAGGGAGCCTTGGTCTTCTTAGGGGGCTATAAAGGCCCTTATAAAAATAAACTACCTTTTGATCCTCAGAAAAATTCAAAAATAAGTAAAAAATGGGGTTTTAGAAAAGTTCTTCTTATTGGGGTCTGTTTCTTGGAGTATATGGTTGGGGTTAAGCTTGGGAAAGGCTCCTGGCTGGATGGGAGAACCATCAATACTTGTACTTAGGGTCCCCCAAGGTGGCCAGTGAAGGGTCCATCCAGTGAAGTTTAGTGAGTCTCAGATGGGTACAAGAAGGCTTCAGGATGAAAGCCTAGAAATCCTAGACACTTTCTTCAAAGAACCACCCTGGGCTCTTTCAGAGTCTGGAAAACTGATTGCTGGCTGGTGTGTTGTAGGGGAGGCAGGCAGAAAGGAGGTTCCACTGAAAATCTTCACTGTCATCTGTTAGGAATATTAGTTTACATTTCTCCCTTAGGTGTTTCAACAGGGCATTGTGACTCATTGCCAGAGAGTTAGAAAGAAAATATTTTCTGGCCAATAAAGGTAGAGCTGAACCTAAGGCTTAACATCTTTGAGCTCTGCACCCTCAGGGCGTTTCAAGACTTAAGCTGTATAAGTAAGCACCATTCTTCTTTCCTCCTGAAGTTGTGATGGCCCTTTTTGTTCCAGGCTTCATTGATGATGTCCTTGGTGACCTCCTGGGGGATGACAGTAAGTGCCCCACCCCCAAAATTCTTTGGTCTAGGCCTAGTCTTTTTTATTTCTTTATTTTTTATTTTTTTGAGACAGGGTCTCAATATTAGTTTAGGCTGGTCTTGAACTCACAGCAGCCCTCCTGCCTCGGCCTCCCAAGTGCTGGGATTACAGGTGTGAACCACCATGCCTGCCCTTGGCCTATTCTTTAAAAAAATATATAGGCAAGAAGATCACAAGTTCTAGCCTAACCTGGGCAATTTAATGAGACCTTGTCTCAAAATTTTAAAAAAGGTAAAAAAAAAAAACCAATTTTTTAAAAAAGGTTAAGGATGTATCTCAGAGCCAAGGCACTGGGTTCAATCCTTAATACCACCACCAAAAAAAAAAAAAAAAAAGGGAGATATAATTCACATGTCAGTTGAGTGTAGTGGCACTTGCTAAAAGGAATCACAAGTTAGATGCCAACCTGGGCTACATAGTGAGTTTGAGGCCAGCTTGAAATACGTAGGGGAACCTTGTCTCAAAAGCAAAACAAAATTTTAAAAAATAAATAATTCACGTCACAGTATTTTCTCTTTTATTTATTTATTATTATTATTCCCCCCCATCCCCTGGTACCGGGGATCGAACTCAGGACCTTGTGCTTTCGAGGCAGGCACACTGCCACTGAGCTAAATCCCCAGCCCCCTATATTTGCTCTTTAAAAATGTGTGATGCACTTGGGAGCCCGAGGCAGGAGGATTGCTGTGAATTCAAGGCGAGCCTGGACTACATAATAAGTTCAAAGCCAGCCTGAACTACATAGCAAGACCTTATCTTTAAATGCTATCCTCTGCATCTCTGCTGTGGTTGTCTGTAGTTAAGTGATCACATCCTAATTCCAAAACATTTTCATCACTCTGTAAGCTCTACACACATTAGTCTTTACTCTCCCCTAACCCCTAATCTTAGTCAACCATTTATTTCCTCTCTGTGATGGAATGGCCTATTCTGGACATTTTATATAAGATAGAATCATACAGAATCTGGCCTTTGCATCTGGCTTCTTTCACTTAGCATAATGTTGTCAAAGTTCACTGATACTCTAGTATGTACCTTATTCCTTTTTGTGACTAAGTAATAGCCTGTTGTGTGACTATACCACGTTTTATATGTTCATTGGTTGATGGACATTTGCATTATTTCCATATTTTGGATATTATGAGTAATTCTATTAGGAACATTTGTGTACAAACTTTTGTGTGGACATGTCTTCAGATCTTTTGGATATAAGCTAGGCATCGAATTTCTGGACCATACAGTAACTGTTTAACTTTTTGAGACATTTCCAAATTGTTCTCCATTGCAACTGCACTCTTTTACGTCCCCACCAGCAATGTAAGATGTTCTGGTTTCTCCACATCCTTGGTAATACTTCCTTTCCATCTTTTTTGTTATGGCCATCCTTATGAGTGTGTCTCATTTGTTGTGCATTTCTTTTTTTTTTTTTTTGGTACCAGGGATCCAACTCGGGTCCTTGCACTTGCGAGGCAAGTGGCGGAACCACTAAGCCAAATCCTTGGCCCTGTTGTGCATTTCTCTAATGACTGATGAGACTAAGCATCTTTTCATGAGTTCATTAGCATATATACAGTGTAAATACTCTTTTTTTCGGGGATAGGGTCTTGTTCAGTTGCCCTGGCTGGACTCAAAATTGTAATTATTATAGGCAGCTAAGTTAGATAGAAATTAATATATAGTCAGAGAGGGACTGGGGCCCTCAAGGAAGTCAGCACAAAAAATAAAGACCTCAGAATTGTGGCTAGAAACAAATGAGAAGAGAACCAGGCCTTAGGATAAAAAAAGCAATAGCTGGGCCGGGGATTTAGCTCAGTGGTTCCACCGCCTGCCTCACAAGCGCAAGGACCCGAGTTCAATCCCCGGTACCAAAAACAAAAAACAAAAAAAAAAACCCAATAGCCAATAACCAGGCCTGCATGTCTCCCTGGAGATACACAGCAACTTGAGATTATCTGTAATTAGCACCACCCAGTCCAATAAGACCAGATAGGCGTCAGACACCCAGGTGGGTGACCAGAGGGTCTGGACCCATCCCTTCCCAAAAACGTCTTTGTTCTTTCCATGTACCCTTGCTACATGTACCTTGTACCATGCTCCACGTACCTTGCTACATGTACATTTTCCATGTACCCTTTCCATGTACCCTTGCCTATTGGATCAGTATTAGCTAACTGGCTATACTTGTAATCCTGTAGGTTGATTGTAGTTTGACCCACATTTGTACCCATGTTGTGACTGCTGTATGAATTACCCCTGACAAAGGGTCTCAGTGGCAACCCCTTTAGGACCCCTCCTGGAAACCTAGGAGCTATTCTTTTCTCCTTATTTCCAATAAAACTCTGCTAACTTCTTCCTTTGGTTCGCAACTTCATTCTTCAATGTTGTGAGACCACAAACTCGGCACATTTGACATCTAACAGGTCAGGAATATTTTTCTTATATCATAATCTTCATGCCTCAGCCTGCCAGAGTGTTAGGATTACAGGGATGTGCTACCACACCTAGCTCTATTTGTATATCTTTGGAGAAATATTTATTTCTCTTTTTTTTTTTTGGTACTGGGGATTGAACTCGGGAACTTGCGCTTGTGAGGCAGGAGCCCGAACCACTGAGCTAAATCCCCGGCCCTTTGGAGAAATATTTACTCAGATCCTTTGCCCATTTTAACTGGGTTATTTGGCATTTTATTGTTGAGTTGTAAGAGTTCCTTATATATTGTGGCTGCTGGCCTCTGTCCTTTGTGTCCACATTGCTCTATGGAGGAGCATGGCTACAGGATCATGCCAAGCTCTCCAGGGACAGCAAGACTTAGGCTTCTTCTACATGACAGGAAGAACCCACAGAGCACAGGTTCATGGAGTCCACCTTCCCCTGAGGAGTGGTCGGGTGGAATTGAGTTCTTTCTTTTGCATTCATTGGCATCTGGGGTTGACTTCCTTCCTGGCAATGCTCCAGCACCTCCTTCATTCAGTTTTTTTAGGGGGTAATGTCTGGAGCTGCCCTTTTGTCCTTGAAAGGTGAGAGGGACTGCTGGTTGGTGGGTTCGCTATCCTTTACATCTCTGCTGTGGTTGTGTGGAGTTAAGTGATGCCTTTTGTTTTCCCGTTTTCCAGCCATAATCCCTGAGAAGCCACTTGAACCAGTTCCTCTCAACAGAGATGCCACGGATGTACCTCAGAAGCTCCCTTCTTCAAAGGCTAGAGGAAGGTAAACACTGGTTGGCCTGGGGACCCAGAGCTCTGCCCCTCTACTCCACTTCCCACTTGGTATGTGCCCACCAGTAATGTAAGGAATTTCCACATCTTCCCTCCACTTCCAGTTATTGGAGCGGCCTGGGAGTGTGAAAAGAGAACTGACTTGGTCAGAAGACCTGGCATCTAGTCCTAGATCTCTTACTGGGGCAATTCCTGAATTTCTCAAGCCTCAATTTCCTTATCTTCAGAATAAGGGAATTGAGTGTCACATCCCTGTAATCCTGGCTCTGAGGAGGCTGAGGCAGGAGGATCGCTGTGAGTTCAAGGCCAGCCTAGGTTACATAGAGAGTTTGAGGCCAGCATGCCAGCATGTACTATATAGCAAGACCCTGTCTTGACACCCCCCCAAAAAAAATAAAAAACAGAATAAGAGAACTGGTCTAGATCAGTAGTTTTGAAATTGTTTGTTCTTCCTAGAGATGAATGATAAAGAGAGGAGCTTTGTGATGTTTCAACTTCATTTTAGCTAGAGCAGTTGTTTCTCTTTCATACCTTTTAACAGTGATTGACTGATGTGGGTTTTTTGAACTTTTTTTTTTTTTTTTTTTTTTGAGACAGGGTCTCCCTTATGTAGTCCAGATTGGCCCCTGAACACACTGTGTTGCCCAGGCTGGCCTCAAACTTGCAGTGATCCTCCTGCCTCAGCCTCCCGAGTGCTGAGATTACAGATGTGCACCACCACGCCCAGCTCGATTGATTGATGTTTTAAATCAAGACCTTGCTATTGTAGTCTAGGCTGGCCTCAGACTTGAAATCCTCCTGGCTTAGTCTGCAAAGTCAGTTTGTTCCTATTGAATTCTCTTAGCTCATTTGTGTTACTTTAATATTTGAACTCAATTGGGATTAGAAGACTATCAGAATATGTATATGTTTCAGGATATTTGACCTGCCGTTAAAAAACAAAAACAATTTTACAGTAAAAAAAAAAAGTCAGTTTGTTCTTAAAGCAAAGCAGTACCCAGGGAATGCCATGTAGACTCAAAGCTAGGAACATAGGCATGTGGCACTGTGTTCTGCTAAAATTTATTTATTTTGTATTATGGGGGATTGAACCCAGGATCTTCACACTGAACTATTTTCCTGGCCCATTGTTCCCATCTGTCTGTCTGTCTATCTGTCTATCATCTATCTATTTATTTACTTTGACACAAGATGACTCATGCCCAGGTGCCCAGGTGGGACTCAAACTTGTGACTGTCCTGCCTCGGCCTCCCAAATTACTAGGATTACACACAATGTGCCACTGCTCCCAACTAATAATTTGTTGTTTTCTTGTTTTTCATCTTATTTTTTGAGGCAGGGTCTTCCTTTGAGGTTCAGGCTAGCCCTGAACTCACCGTGTAGCCTAAACTCGCATCTATCCTCCTACCTCAGCCTCCTGAGTGCTGTAACAATTTGTTTTTAAAAAGGGCTCTACTGCTTTACAAAAGTACAAGCTCACTGTACTAGGTGGCCTGTGAAATTCTTTTTTAGCATATCTGTCTTCCTGGAGAAGTACCTCCAAGTTCCTTTTAACCCCTTAAGCTACTCTTTTTTTGATGGTTGTGGTGCTGAGATGGAACACAGGGCCTCACACATGCTAAATACGTGTTCTGCCACTGAGCTCCTCAGTCTTCATATTTTAGGGTCATCTAGTGCCCTCAGCATGAGGGTTGGTGCCATTCTAATCCTTTGCAGGTCATTCCGGGAAGGTGAAGTCTTTAACACTTTGGGAAGCCTGGCAGGAGCTGATGCTGAGGTGAGTCCGACCTATTTCCCAATTCTCAGCTTCTGTACTTAACCCGAGGAAAACCGAGACTGGTGTGGTGGCCAGTGAGCTGCTCACAGAAGTGTTTGGAAGTCTCCAAAGTCAATTTGTTCTTAAAGCAAAGCAGTACCCAAGGGATGCCATGTAGACTCAAAGCAGTATCTATCTCCTGTTCCCCAGAGTGATGAGCTAGACAGTAGAGCTCCAACAGCTTTGGGGTTTGAAACTGTCTCATGAGAAACTGCACGCCATCTGCTTACATGGTGGAGAAGTAGCCTAACATGGGTTCTGTGATGAAAGGTTTTTTTCCAGTTGGGAGGGACAGAAAGCGGCAGAATTTTCTGGGTCTCTCCACAACTGGCTGGGTTTGACTTCTCACAACAGCTAAGCTCCAGGGTGGGGGCCTTCTGTTTATGCCCCATTGGCCGAGCTCTGCCCCTGCAGGCCATGTGCTCCCACAGAGGCAAGGTGACAAGGGACCGGAGCCCTGAGTGCTCTTGGACCTAGACTAACGTGCATCTCATCTCTGTCCTCACCTCCTGTGGACTTAGGCTTCTGACATCTCAGATGCGGACCCACAGGCCTTGCTACAGGCCATAAAGGTAGGGAAAGAGCCTTACAACCCTCAGGGCTGGGCTGGGTGAACTATTAATATTTTGTGTCAAGACTTCATCTACCTGTGATTCTTCCTGTACAGCTTGGGTTTCTGAGCCTTTCCTAGTGCAAGCACAGAGCTCACCCTGAGCTGTTGCCTGTCTAGTGCTCTGGGTATAAACCTTTTCCCTGCTGTGCCACAGTCCCCTCCTAGTGAATCACCTAGTTAGGTCCCCTTTGTCCCCTACCACCACCTGAGGGGACAGAATGAGTTACCTTCCCTTCTTAGCTTCAGATACAGCTTCTTCAACCTCAGCCTGAAATCTCTCTTCCTAAGGCCAGCTAGCTATGACCCCAGGCATGCATGACCTACAAATGCTCTGACTCAATTTTGGGGGCCAATTTTGAGTGTCTTATTCCAAAATGATGAGCCAAGCCCAGGCTGGCCCTGAACATACAGTGATTCTCCTGCCTCAGCTTCCTGAGTGCTAGGGTTAGAGGCATGCACCACCATACCCAAATGCCTCCCAACTCTCTTTACCTTTGGTTCCATTTTCTTTCCCAAGTCACCATTTTTCTCAATTTCCTTTGTCTTCTCACAATTCTGCCCCTGGCTATCTGCAGCACTCCTCCCCTCTGTGTAATTATCTTTGCATTACCACAGTGAGACAGCTGAGACAGCTGATATGTCAAGAGAGAATGTGCATTTAGCTCACAGCTTTGAGGTTCAAGGCCCAAGATGCGGTTGGGTGGGGGGGACTGGTTTGGTCTCTGATGAGGGTGGCAGATAGCGGTGCATCATGGGAGAAGCATATAGAGAAGCAAATGGTTACATCTTGAACCCAAGCAGAGAAAGGGGATGGGTGCAGTCACATAGCACCTTTCAAAGTCAAGCCTTCAAGGAGGTAAGGCCCCACAGACCCCACCTCCCAGTACCACCCTGGGGCCAAGCTTTCAAATGGACCGTTGGGGGACCCTAGCACCTTCCCAGATACCATGGTCCATCATCCTTCCTACTATTCTAGGATCTGGACGACATGGATGCTGATCTCCTGGGTCTGAAGAAGTCTCCAGCCTCTGACAAAAGAGAAGCAAAGGGTTCTGGGAAAGAAGAGCTGCCTCGAAATTCCAAACCTGCTGACAAGTTAACAGCCAGTGAGAAAGGTGAGTGGAGGAGAGCTCCTGAAGTCCCTGAGGGAGGCTTTGGGACCACAGAAACTGCTTAGAAAGAAAAGATGCTCTGATGTCTTGTGGGTTTTCTCTGCTTGGAATCGTGCATGCGCGTGTGTGTGTGTGTGTGTGTGTGTGTGTGTGTGTGTGTGTGTGTGTGTTTGTAGTATAGAATGGGCTGTTCCAATCACTCTTAAGTCCATTGTGGGCAGCTCCTGGAGGAACTTTTTTAGTTAAAATGGAAACATCACTTTTTTTTTTTTTGTATCAGGGATCGAACTCAGATCCTTGCACTTTTGAGGCAGGCACCAGAACCACTGAGCTAAATCCCCGGCCCTTTGAGTTAAAATGGAAATTTGGGCCCATAGGGTTGTAGCTCAGCCGTAGAGAACTTGCCCAGAATGCTTAAAGCCCTGGAGCACAAAAACAATAATAATAATTTCTAAAAGGGAAATTTGATGGTAGCCTGTGCATCTCCCAAACCCATACCTGTTTGGAGTGATTTATGACAAGGGGGCAGATGCACCTTCCTGCCACATTTCCCTGTTGGCAGCATGGGTGAGAACTGGTGGGTGGGGTCCCTCTACGGCTGTGCCCACAGCTTGGAGCCTCAGCTTTGTAGAATGAAGTCCTCAACATACCAAGGACCCCAGTCTGAGGTGTAGAGGAGGAGCTTAGACAAGGAAAGAAAGACCCAGGCCTAGGACTGCTTTCTTTGTTCTTCCTGCAAGGGACATCAGTCCCACCAGAAAGCCACTTCCCTCTCTCCGCAGTTTTGAGCATGTACAGGAGGTTTTCTTTTGAAGGTACCAGAGACTCCCCAGTCCTGCTTCTGGAACACTCTATTTGTTTGCTTATTTATTTGTTTGTTTGTGGTACAAGGGGTTGAACCAAGGGGCTTTGCACTGAGGTGCATCCCCAGCTCTTTTATTTTGAGACAGCGTCTTGCTAAGTCACTAAGTTGCCCAGGCTGGGCTCCACTAGGAACACTATAGTTTGACAAACTTTGTGATGCTTGCCTGCCTGTCTGAGGCCAAGTTACTATGTGTATCAGAGGAGGAACAGAGAGCTTCTGCCTCAGTTTAGTTCGTCATGAACTCTGCAAGGGACTAGTTGTGTTGTACCGGGGAACCTAAAGTATAGGGAGGAATCCCTTTGTCTTCACAATGCACAAAAGTTTTCCTTCTCTTCTGATGCCTCAGAGGCATTTCCAGGAGCCCATGGGGCGAGCAGAGTCAGAGGCCCTCAGATTCACCTAGCTCTCCTCCTATGCCCACCCTCAGCTCTGTGTCCCAGACCCCCTTTCCCTGTACATGCTGAGGAGCTCATTTATGCTCAAGTGATAGCTCCCCAAGCTTCCGGCCTTTTTTCCTCAACAAAGTGCCACAGTCTGACCCCTGCTTTCTCTTCTGGTGGTAAGACTTGGAAGACTCATCGGGAAGACTTCTATCTGATGATGAGGGAAGAATTGCCAGGAAGGCCCCAGTGACAGAGAGTAAAACTGCTTCCAACAGGAACCCCAGCACAGTCAGAGGTCCAGGTAAGGGGGAGAGGCTTGTTCCTCATCCTGGGAGAGACTCTGTGGACAACAGACAAGCTCACTGGACCAGAGCCCTCAGCCAGGCAAGAGCACAGGTCTCAGGTCCAGGACCGAGAGATTATCAGTTTCTGGGACCAGGAAAGTGGATGCATGGGTCTGGGATGGAGTGGGGTCCTAGAGTCCCATGGGCAGACCCATGCCCACTGCCCACCAGAAGTTCAGGGTTGCAGAGCCCATTCAGTCATGGTGGAGGGCAAGAAGGCCATGAGCGTTGAGCCTTGGTTCTGTCTTTAGGTCCCTCTATTCCTCTTACTCCTGGGGACACCCCCATCAGAAGGAAAGAAGAATTGCTGTTTGATGATGGAGACGACATCATGGCCACCCTCGGGTTTGAAGACAGCCCCACGGCAGAGAGGAGGCAGATGGGAGACCAGTAAGCATCCACACGAGTGGGGAGTCTCAGGCCCGGATGCTGCCCAGGAAAAAACTCAAGGATGGGGACAGCAGAGCCCACCGGGAGCCCCACGTAGTCACATGCCCCTTTCCCACATCCCGTTTTACAGGGAAGGGCCCCGGCCCGCTCGCTCCAAGCTGGATGAGCTGCTGGGTCGAGGCACAGCCACCAAACTCCTGGCTCGCCCGGGAACAGGGGAACACAGGGAGTTCAAGCTAGACAAGAAGTACCAGAGGTCACAGGGTGAGGAAGACTTGGGAAAAGGATGGACCAGGGCTGGAAGGCAGGGTATCTCTCGCAGAGGTTTTTACCACAACAGGTAACAGGAAGTAACTTCGGCCGGGGATTTAGCTCAATGGTTTTGCCACCTGCTGTGCAAGCACAAGGACCCGAGTTCCATCCCTGACACCAAAAAAAAAAGAAGTAACTTCAGGTCATGGTACACGTGTTACTAAATACATCCATACCTGTGACAGAGGTGCTGGGAGATAACTTTCACCCTCACCCCCCCAGCACCCTGATGCTATGTGTAGATACTGTTTGGTATATGAATACACTTGTCGTCACTTGTCAAGTTATTTTATTTTATTTATTTTTCCCCGTACTGAGGATTGAACCCAGACCCTTTGCATTAAAAAGGCATCCCCAGCCCTTTTCCTTTTTTTAAATTTTATATTTTGAGACAGGATCTAGCTAAATTGCTAAGTTGGGCTCAGACCTTTTTTTTTTTGGTACCGGGGATCGAACTCGGGTCCTTGCACTTGTGCAGCAGGCAGTGAAACCACTGAGCTGGGCTCAGACTTTTAATCTTCCTGCCTCAGCCTCCAAAAGTCCTGAGATTATAGCCGAGCTCTACCAGGCCCAGCTCTGACCCTCTGAGAGACAGCAGCAGCTCACAGTTTGAAAACACTCCTGTGAACTAGTGTTTCTCAAAGCATTGGCCCATTAGGCATCTGTTAAGATTTGTTCTGTGACACACACAGCCCACTGGGCTTGACCTTAAAGAAAGAGGGGCAAGCCCTGGCCAGTATGTTTTCAGAGCTTCTGGCTGGTCCTGTGTGGCCATGGTGCTTCCTCCAGGGCAACCCTGCCTCAGGTTGTCTTGCTTGTCACCTGCCAGTTCAGGATTTCTTGACAGAATCCTGCAGGCACAAAAGTTGGGCTTCCCAGGGCTGGGGACGCAGCTCAGTGGAGGAGCCCTTGCCTAGCATGTGCCAGGCCCTTGGCTCCATCCACAGCACTGCCAAAAAACAAAAAATTTGGCTTCCCCGTACTAGATTCTAGAACATAGTCACAGGCTCCTTAATTTTCAGACGAAGAAGATGCCTGGGACGATGAAATTCTCACCTTTGGGGTGTACCAGCCCACTTTGGGGTCTTCCGAGGGCCGGCAGTCCCGTCGACAATCTGTCAGGTGAGCGGGGCCTACAGGGAGCTTGGCCTCCGGGACAGGCTGGCCACTGGGAAGACAGGTCCCCGAAGCTCTCCCCGCCCCACCCGACAGCCTTGTGTGGGGCTCAAAGCACTGTGGGAGAGGGTGGCTGCCCAGGAGTCTAGGCAGGGTGTGGAAACAGCTCCCACAGAACTGTGATCTCAGATTCTGCACCAGCTAGCAGCCCCAAGTTCCCACTGGGGACTGCTTGGGGTGAAGGGCAAGATGGCCTCCTCTTCCTGAAGCCTCCTGAAAGCCATAAAGGCTGTGGTGTCACTTGGTCTCCCTGGGGAACACAGCCCAGGGGCTGATGAGACCATGAACCTGTGGCAGTGGCAACTCCAATCTGTTCCCCGTGATGCTGCTGGTGGACCTGCCCAAGCAGTCCTAACCCCACACTCTTTCCAGTTTGCAACAAAATTAAGTCAGTGATGAAGTTTTCTGAATTTGGAGTTTTTCTCCCAGCATAAAGTTTGTTGTTGTTGTTTTGGGTTTTTTTTTTTCCGGTACCGGGAATCAAACTCAGGACTTTGCAAGGCAAGCACAGCACCACTGAGTGAAATCTCCAATGCTTTGTTTTGATTTTTTCAGGCAGGATCTCACTATGTAGTTCAGGCTGACCTTGAACTCACTGTGTAGCCCAGGCTGACCTCGAATCCACACCAGTCCTCCTGCCTCAGCCTCCCAAGTGCTGGGATTACAGGCATGTGCCACCAACCTGGCCAAGCAAGCAGACTCAGCATATAGTTTAAACTGTATTTTGAGGTAATTTCAAACGTAGAGAAAAGTTGTAAGAACCCCTCCCTTCACCTAAGATCAGCAGTAGTCAGCACTGAGCACATTGGCTGTGATGACCTTGTTCCATCTAAATACCTCTAGTCCACCTTGATATTATTTCCAGAACATTCTTTTTTTTGGTACCAGGGATCAAACTCGGGTCCTTGCACTTGCAAAGCAGGCGGTGAAACCACTGAGCTGAATCCCCAGCTTTTTTTTTTTAATTGGTGCTGGATTGAATTCAGGGCCTCTTAGTTGCCAAGTACACACTGTACCACTGAGCAACATCCTCTGTCCCTCGACCCCAGAACCTAAACCTAGGAGCCTGTAGCCACTGGTTGACGTCTGTAGGCAGTGGCTGTATAGTGAGCTGGTAACAAAACAGGCATTGTGGGAAACCTGAACACCACTTGATCTGACTGATGTGCTCTAGACCCATCTGCCTGTGTCTGTGATTTGACCCCGTTGTCTATGGGCAGAATCGCCCCTGGTTTGTATAACAGAGGTCAAAATGCCCATGTTTCTTGATGTTCTGTAGATAGCATACTGCCTGCCACTGCCCTCTCACCTGACCTGGTCCTGGAGCCACTACTCCCTGGCCCTCAGGCTGACTGTGCAGTCCATGGGCCTCATAGTCCCCCCAGCACAGAAGGAAAGGCTGGAAAGGGGCTCTTAGGGGACAGCTGCCTCTCTTGCCTGACGCCTCTCTCTTTGTCTTGAAGCAGGTTCTTAGCAGAAAGTGGCCCAGACCCCAAGGGAGAACCAGGCTCCAAACGGAGCCCTCCAGTGGCTTCTAGCCCCATCCAGCCCAGAAAGGGAGGAGCTGACTGGTTGGGCCTCAAGGATGAAGACTTGGACCTGCTCCCTCCCTCTTCCACCCAAGAGGCCCAAGGAGGAGACTCAGCGATCTTTACTCCCTCCGTTCCCCCTCCTGTGAGCCAGCACTTGGCCCCAGGCCTGCATTCTACCCCTGCTGGGCTGCACTCCTCAGGGACAAAGCTACCAGCTGAGGGTGCCGTGTCCCCTGCCAAATCCAACCAAGCTGCCAAGCTGGGAGCAGCCAGGGAGGAAGAGGAGAAGGAGGACTGGCTGAGCCATATCTTGTCTCAGAAGAAGTCCCAAGGTCTGGCCAGAGAGGAGCACACCGGGGCCTGTGAGACCTTGAACCCAGTGGGGACAGCAGGCTCTGCCCTTTCTGCCAGGTATGGGCTTGGGCTGCTGTGTGTAGTGGGGAGAACTGGGCAGGGACCATGAGCTTTGCTTCCCTTCCTGTTGGGGACAGTAGGGAGAGCTACAGGCTTTGCCCAGGTGCCAGCAGGCATGAGAGGACAGGGCGCCTGAGGTGGTGGGCTCTGCTGTCCCCTGCTTTTGAGCTGGGGCCCTGCCCACAGAGCCCTCAGGCTACCAAAGAAATCCAGTGTGTGTATTGTTGGTGTTTCTTGTTGACCCGAGCTAGAATGACTAAAGTACGGGTGAGCTGAGATTCCCATGTGCTCTTTTCAGGGGGGGGCGGGGGTACCCGGGATCGAACTCAGGACCTTGCGCTTGGGAGGCAGGCGCTGGAACCACTGAGCTAAATCCCCAGCCCCCCATGTGCTCTTGGGGATGTTTGAGAAGAGGCAGTGGCCGAGGGGTAGCTCCTAGGGAGCCACAGAATGGCCGTCCAGTTGGGCAGGATCGTGAGAGACCTCTGAGGGCAGGAAGGCAGGCGAAAGGGGCCAGCAAAGGGCCCGGCAAGGCGGGGGATCCAGGGAAGTGGTGACATGCTCCACAGTCAGAGCTGAGGGCAGGAGACTTGGTGGTTTTGTGAGCCCTGGGACATCACCAGTCCCGGGGTTGGTGTTGTGGGAGGTTGACTTTGACTTAAACCCAAGAGAAAAACTGAGGCCCAAACAGAAAAGACTGCGAGCTGAGAAGGGAGATGGGAATTACAGAAGAGGGTAGCCCAAAGGTGGCTGCCCTGGGGGCCAGTTGAAGAGAGCAGCAGTGTAAGGCTGAAGGAAGCTCATTGGGCCCAGACAGGCCTTGAAGTTGAACTCCTCTGGGCATGACATGCCTGTCATCACTCTGTGAACGGTGTCCAGTTGCACGTCACAGTGGACACTGAGGTGGGGAGTAGGTTGTGGAAGGGAAGGGTAGCCATAGACCCTGGGAGCTCAGACTTGGGAGAAGACTGGTGGGAACAGCAGGGCCGAGGGAAGCAGGGAGAGGAAAGAGAAACCCTGCAAGCTCTATTCTGCAAGCTTGTCTAGGGCCGTCTTCAGCCTAACCTGGGCCTCCTGTCACCTTCACCTTTAACGTGGACCGTCCTCAGCCAGCCCATTGCCAGCATTCAGGGGCTTGACCAGGCAGCTGCTGGAAGGACCTCAGGAAGAGCAACAGCACAAGAAGCACTGGCCACCAGGCCTGATGCTGCAGGGTATGTCTGCATCCATGGCTGAGAGAGTGAGCAGCTGTGGGGCCACCCCGGCCTCCTCGCCTAGAGGTGGACAAGCCCAGATGGCTGACTGGCTCTGTAGTATTTGGCACCCCTGCCAGGCCCACTGATGACAGAACAGTTGGAGGCCCACCTCCTTTACCATCCGGGTCCTGCACACCTAGGAAACTGTTGGCTACTGGGCCTTCCCACCCAGTCATTTAAGCCCAAAGTTTCCTTTACCCTGGTGCCACTGCTCCTCTTCTCTCCATGCTCCACATAGAGAGCTCTTCACCTTGCTACCCTGTCCCTTTGTCCCCAGGTCCCCCACGAGTTGTAGCCAGGGTCCTTTGGCCCTCTCTGCAGGTGACCTAAAGAGAAGAGCAGTCTCTGGAGACCCTTCCCACACTGGTTCGTTTTCTGCTTTATTTGGGTTTTAACCTTGGTGAAGAAGTGGTACCTAGAGCTTCTTTGGCCCTGTATTGGTCAGATTTTCGGCACTGTGACCAAACCTGAGAAAAACAACTTAGAGGAAGGAAGGTTATTTGGCTCACAGATTCAGAGGCTCCAGTCCGAGGTGAGGCAGCACATGCTGACAGCTCACCTCATGGCAGTCAGAAGGCAGAGATAAGCAGAGATGAGTCTTTGCCCATTCCAGCACAAGTGGCCTTCCCCCTCCTACCTGGCTCTGTGTGTGTCCCACCCTGCTGGATGGCGTTGCCCACACGCAGGTCCGGTCTCCCAGTAGGTGCTGTCGCACTTGCCAGTCACCTCTGGAAATAGCCCCATAGCCGCACCCAGCAGCATGCATTACTAATTTCCTACGTGCTCCTTATCCAGTCAAGTTTATAGCCAAAGTGAACATCACAGGGCCCTGGAAGATGAGCTCCCAGACACAGGCCCAGAGCCTGGGGCTCCCCTGGCCTCCCACTCATTCTTTGCGTCTCTGTTGTTGCCTTTTCAGAGCCTACGACTCGTTTCCCAAGCTCCCAGGAACCCACAGGGCTCCTTGTGCCTGTCCAGGTAAGGAGAGGGACAAACGGGTAGGTCTTGGGTCCAGGAAACAATTCTCCAATGCTCAGAGGCAACTCCGGGAGTTGGCCGTGATATTCTGCCAGGAAGAATGTGTCACATATGCCCAGTGTGACCCCAGCCAGCTCACTCTAGAGTCTCTCATCCATGCCCTCCTGAAGTTTTAACTTCATGACTTCCACATGGAGTGCGTGTGACCTGGCCAGCATCAGTAGGGATTTGGAGGTGGCAGCCAGGTGGCAGCAGCTAGGAACGCTCCAGGTTGCAGGTGTGTGCTGTTCCATCTGGAAAGCCTCCCCAATCCCTGCCCTCCTAACACAGCCTCTCCAGCTCTGTCACCTGGGACACCTGAGCCTTGGAAGAGGGGCACCCACTATCATGTCCCTAGGAGACAGTAGGTGAGGGCCACTTATGGAACCAGCTTAGTTTCAACATGTGGCCTTCAGACCTGACAGAAAGGCCAGTGTCAGAAGCTTTGTCATAAGCGTGACTGTTTCTTGTCTCCAAAGCTGGAGCTCCCACTGGGAAGGATGTTGTGGGGGAGACATTCACTTTCATGACCAGAGCTAAAAGTGGAGGTGCTGCAAACTGCTCAGTTGGTCCAGACCTCTCCCATCTGCAGCCATAGATAAGGGACAAGGCCAGGTGGTCCCCTGAGCAGAGAACCCAAAGTAGCCACGCCCAGCTGCCTCCTGGAATGGTCTCGTCCTCTCCCACAGTCCCTGGTCTCACAGTCCCTGGTGCAAAATCTGCTGCCAGACATGGGATACCAGAAGCCGCTCCTGGTAGCACAGACACAGCTTCAGAGCAGTGCTGCCCCTCTCCAGACTGAGCTGCTGCAGTGCCAGGCCCGGCTGGCAGAAATGGAAGCCCAGGTGAGGGCTCAGGGCACCTGGTGGTGGAGGCTGGGGACAGTGGACACTTGCCACTCTTAAGTGGAAGCTTCACCAGGAGGGAAGGAGGAGGCGGCACAAAGCAGCAAAAAGCACAGACGTAGAGGGACCCTGTAACTGCGCTACACTGCATCTCCTGCTGTCCCCTAGGTGCGGAAGCTGGAGCTGGAGCGGGCACAGCACAGGCTGTTGCTGGAGAGTTTGCAGCAGCAGCACCAGGCAGACCTGGAGCTCATTGAGAGTGCACACAGGTACCCACCCTACCCACCCTCCTCCTGCTCAGACTGAGGCTGGCTAGCATCTCCCCTGAGCTGCAAGACCAATGTGATATGCTCTAGACCTTTCAGGGGGTGTTCTCTCAGCAGAAGCCGCATCAAGGTGCTAGAGACCTCGTACCAGCAGCGGGAGGAGCGGCTCCGAAGAGAGAACGAGGAGCTGTCAGCTCAGTATCTGTCGCACTGCCAGGAGGCTGAGCAGGCCCGTACTGAGCTCACAGCTCAGCACCAGCGGCGCTTGGCAGCAGCTGAACAAGAAAAAGTCCAGGAGATGGAGCGGCTCCGTGAGCTGCAGCAGTGAGAGACTCAGGTCTTGGGTGGGGAAGCAGCTGTCAAAGATTGGCCAGAGGAGAGCAGTGCCCATGAGACCCAGGCTGCAGCTCTGCAACCTTAGCATGGGGCTCCAGCCCTTCCCTCAGCCGCGAGGTGAGGACCAGGGACTGAGCACACTGACCCACTGCCCCTCTACTGAGGTGGGAAGTGGCATGCGCAGGGCCCACGGGGTCCCTAGCCAACTGGGCAGAGTATGGAAGCAGCAAGCAAGCAACCCAGGGCTCAGCCAGGCACAGGTTTGTCCACTCACCTGCTGACCCAGTGGAAGGTACCGACTGGCTCCACCTGGGAGAGGCATGCCTGCCGTGCTGGTGTGTTGGTCTGGCTGCTTTGTAGGTGAGGGCAAAACCGACAAAAGATACCAATAGTCACTGAGGACAGAACAGGCCTTTTTTTCTTTTCTTTTGGTACCGAGGATCAAACTCAGGACCTTGCACTTGCAAGGCAGGTGGAGTACCACTCAGCTAAATCCCCAGCCGGAGAGCAGCCTTTTAAGACTGCCCAAAGGGCCAGACATGAAGGGTTATCCACACAGCTTTCTTTCTTTTGTTTTTTGATGTTTTTGTTTTTTGAGTTAGGGTCTTGCTCTATAGTTCAGGCTGGCCTTGAGCTCACTATGTAGCACAGGCTGGCCTCAGACTCATGCCCATCCTCCTGCCTCAGCCTCCCTCCCAAGTACTGGGATTACAGGCATGCACCACCACACCCAGCATACATAGCTTTCTTGTTTTCTGTGAAAAGTGCCCTTTGCTGAGTAATAGGAATTTCTTGGTGATGTGGCATTGAAACACCAAGAACGACAAGACAGAGGAGCCAGGGAAACTAAATCAGTGCCTGAAGAGGAGGAAGAGGAGGAGGAGGCAGAGGGACCACTTGGAGGCTTGCGCCTTCCAGGAAGAGCTGCCATGGTGTTCTCTGCAACATCTGTCCACGTGGCCTTCCTCAAAGTGGCCCTGGGCCTTCCCCGCTGCCTCCCCCCAGGGCATCCATCATGGAGATGCGCAAGGACCATGAGGAGCAGCTGCAGCGGCTGAAACTGCTGAAGGACCGAGAGATTGATGCAGTCACCAGTGCCACCTCCCACACACGGTATGTGTGCCGCCCAGCCCTGGCCACCCAAGGGCCCAGGCCTGGGTAGCGCAGGACGGACGAGGTGTCCCAATCCTCCCCAGGTCCCTTAATGGCATCATCGAGCAGATGGAGAACTTCTCCAGCAGCCTGAACGAGCTGGCCTCCCGTGTGGAAGCCTCGCACCTCACCACTTCGCAGGAGCGGGAGCTGGGCATCCGGCATCGGGATGAGCAGCTGCGAGGTATGGCCCATCTCAGTAACCAGGGCCCCCTCGGTGGGAAGGAGGGCAGAGCATTGAGTGCCCTGTGGCCGGCCCCAGTCCTGAAGGAGCAGCTGGGCCGGCAACAGCGGGACATGGAGGAGGAGCGAGGCCGGCTCCAGGAGGTCATCGGGAAGATGGAGGCGCGCCTGAGCGAGCAGAGCCGGCTCCTGGAGCAGGTGAGCATCCTCCTGCACAGGCCTGGGCCCTCCCCAGAGCACAACCCCAGGCTCTGCCCACCTCAGCCAATCGGTGTCCCTTCTGTCCCTTCTGCCCCTGCATCTTCCATCCCCTGCCCAGCCTCAGCACTGCCCACCTGAGCACATGGGGCTGCCCAGGGGGGCCACCCATCCCCACTCCTTGGTCCCTGGCCACAAGACTGCCCTCCATGGACTTCGCCATCCTCTGCACTTCTTTTCTCCTTTTTCTGGATCTGTCACCTCAGCTGGTGCTTGTGGCAGCAGGACAGATGCTCTTGCCCGATAAATGTCATTTAACCTCCACAGCTATGACACATTGTGTTTAACTCCATCATGTCATTCATACATAAAAGCAAGCCTTATTATTTAATTTTTTTTTTTGGTACAGGGGATTGAACTTGGAACTTTGTGCTTTCGAGGCAGGTGGTGGAACCACTGAGCTAAATCCCCGGCCCAAGCCTTATTATTTAAAAGAGAATATAATTTTTATTAAAGTATTATTTATTTAAAAGTATTATTATTTAAAAGAGTGTTTTCTTTCTTTTGTACTCAGTTATAACAGTACATTTCATTGAAAAAAGTAAAATATAGGAAACAATAAAGAAAATTAAAATTACCACTCGACAGAAATATCCATGGCTGATAATACATATCCTGTGCCCATTCCAACCTAGGTACAGATGCTTTTGTTTGTTTGTTTGTTTTTTGTTTTTGGTACTGGGGATCGAACTCTGGACCTTGCGCTTGCAAGGCAGGTGCCGGAAACACTGAGCTAAATCCCTGGCCCAATTTTTTTTTTTTTTTTTGTACTGGGGATCGAACTCGGGACCTTGAGCTTGTGAGGCAGGCGGCAGAACCACTGAGCTAAATCCCCAGCCCTACAGATGCTTTTATATCATGAACATATCTGCACTCCTTATCTGGCGCTGTCAAGCACCTCCTCAGGCCAGGCACAGTTAACGTCCTACTTCACGTGTGCCTGCACCTTGAGCCCCCAGCACAGCAATAAGTCTATCTGTGCTGCTCTGCTTGGCTGAGGGTCGATGGGCAGAGCACCGGAGCCTGGGAGCGGGGATGTTGCTGTTCCTTGCCTTAGCTGCGGTGTAGTTGGATACCTGAGGGCAGGGCCTGGGCCCTGGCAGGGCCTCCCACGCACTCTGCACTCTGCTCCTCTTAGGAAGGAGGATAGATGGTGTAGGTAGGTTTGCATGGCTCCTTGAGGACCAGCTAGGCCTGCTCTAGCATCAGGAGCTGACCCTAACCCCTGCCATGGGCCCTGCAGGAACGCTGGCGAGTGACCTCTGAGCAGTCCAAGGCGGAGTCCATGCAGCGTGCCCTGGAGGAGCAGAGGAAGGTGATGGTCCAGCAGATCACCATGGAGAGGGAGGAGCTGGAAAGGGCCAAGGTAAGTCCGGCACCATACTCCACTGCTGACCCCACCACGAGGCCCAGGGTCACTCACACCATGCACCTGCCCTCGAATCCAGAGCACCTTGCTGGAGGAGCAGAAGTCTGTCATGCATAAGTGTGGGGAGGAGCGGCGGCGCCTGGCTGTGGAGTGGGCAGAGTTCTCCACACAGCAGAAGCTGAGCAAAGAGCGGGCTGATCGAGAGGTGGAGCGGGCGCTGCAGGTAGACACCCAGCGGGAGGTCACCATCATCAGCCTGGCCAAGGTAGGGCCTAGCGCCTCCAGAACAGCCCTTCCCTTCCCCTGGGTGCATCCGGTTCCAGGGCCAGAAAATTCAGCAGTTTCTCTGTTTATGAACTCGATTCTCTCCACAATTCTGGTCACAAACCAAACTGGACAAGAAAAGAATCAAATTTTTCCGTAAGGTCAACATTGAACCTAACCATTGAATTTGATTCAGTTCTTGTCTAACTTGCTTTCCAACCAGAATCATGGAAAAAATTAAGTTCATGACCAAGATACCACTGTAAGAGCATCACAATGACATAACAAGAATACAGAACTAGCTGGGCATGGTGGCACAGCCTGTAATCCCAGCTACTCAGGAGGTTGAAGCAGAAGGATCCTAAGTTCAAAGGCCAGCTGGGCAACTTAATAAGATCCTGTGTCAAAAATTAAAATTGCTGAGAATGTAGCTCAGTGGTAGAGTGCTTGCCTAGGATGCGCGAGGCCCTGGGTTCAAGCCCCAGTACCACAAAAATAAAAAGAGCCTACAGTTCAGAGATGGGCTTGCTGTGGTTGTGCAGCTTGTGAGGAGCAGCCAGCTTGGCCCCAGACCTCTCTGGCCATCCTGGAAGTCCTGGCTCCACTGCCCCTCCGAGAGGCAGGGCAGGCAAGGGACCCCACAGGTTTTGCCCCAAGCCTGGCACAGCATCCGGGAGGTGAGCCCAGCAAAGGTTGTGCCTCCTCTAGGAGCAGGCAGAACTGAAGATCAGGGCCAGTGAGCTCCGGGCCAAGGAGGAGCAGCTGGCCACCGAGAGGGAAGCTGTGGAGCGGGAGCGGCAGGAGCTGCGGCTGGAGAAGGAGAAGGTCAAGGCCACCGCCCTGAGCCTGCAGCTCCGAGTTGAGGAGGTGGAGCACATGAGCAAGGTGAGGCTGGCCAGGTCCTGGGCTTGGGCCACCAAGTGACCTAGTCCTGATCCAGCAACCTCCCTGCAGGTGGCCTCCAACAAGTATGAGGAAGGCGAGCAGGCACTACACAAGGCCCGGCAGGTACAGTCAGAGCAGCTGGCCAGGCTGCAGGTGGTGCAGCGGCAGCAGGAGTGGCTTCGGCAGCAGGAAGAGCATGTGCACCAGGCAGGGCACCTCCCCCACCCCCATCCCCTCCTGCGCAGCTGCCACCTTCCCTGCTGAGTCCTCTCTGGGGTTGGGGACAGGAGCACCTGAGCCTGGCCCAGCAGAGGCTACAGCTGGACCATGTGCGACAGGACCTGCCTTGCTGCCTCCCAGAGCTTCCTCCCAGGGCCCAGGGCCCAGCACCTTCCAGCCTTCGTGGTAAGAGGCTCCAAGAGGAGGACCAGGCTCAGCTGGCCCAGGTCAGGGGTACAGGCAGGACCCGGCAGACTCCCAGCTGTTCAAGCTAGGGGCAGCTGGGTTTTAAAGTTATCCTGTTACCAAGTGTGGCTGTGTGTGCACATGCGGACACGCACACGGCATGGGGATCAAACCCAAGGGCATTCTCCCACTAAGCTGTATCCTCAGTGCGTCTCCCTTTATATTTCTTAATTTGAGATAGGGTCTCAGTACATCACTAAGATACCCAGGCTGGGGTTGAACTTGGAATCTTCCTGCCCTGGGATTACAGGTGTGCAGCACAACACCCAGCATCTTGTTAGTACTTCTCCCCGCTGCCCCTGCCCTTTGTATTGGGGATTGAACTCAGAGTCTTTGTGCTTAGCTATCTCCCTAGACCTGTTTTTATTTTGAGAGGGTCTAATGTTCTAGGCATGGTTGTGCAGGGCTATAGCCCCAGCCCTCAGGAGGCTGAGACAAGAGGATTGCCACAAGTTTGAGGCCAGCCTGCATTACATATGGAGACCCTTTCTCCAGAGAGAGAGAGAGAGAGAGGGAGAGAGAGGAGAGAGAGGAGAGAGAGACTCTCTAAATTGCCCAGGCTAGAGTCAAACTTGCCATCCTCCTGTTTCAGCCTCCCAGAGTACTGGGATTACAGGAGGGTGGCACTGCTGGCTTATCACTTCTTTTTTATACAAGTAATGCATGGTAACTTCATGAAAATAAGTCAGAAATAGGAGAAAGTTTTTTTGTTTTGTTTTTTTAATATCATCATCCTCAACCCCAGTCTCTGGCTTAGAGTGAACTACCTTTAACATTTTGGTGTCTAATATTTAAGCTTTTTAAAATTTTTTAAATTTTTATTTATTTATTTATTTATTTATTTATTTATTTATTTTTGGTACCGGGGATTGAACTCGGGTCTTTGCGCTTGCGCAGCAAGCGGCAAAACCACTGAGCTAAATCCCCGGCCCATTTAAGCTTTTTTTTAATGACACATAAATAAAAACTTTATTACCAAAAAGAAGTAACACTCACCACCAGCTTACAGACTAAAACAATTGTATTTGCAGAAATGCAAAATGATTGTTTGCCATGAGCATATTTAGGGTTTTTTTTCCCCCAGGACTAGGAACTGAACCCAGGGCCTTCCCACTGAGCTACATCGATAGACCTTTTTTTGCTATTTTGATACAGAGTCTCACTAAGTTCCCCAGTCAAAGCTCAAATTTGTGATTCTCAGGCGGGGGATTTAGCTCAGTGGTTTCACCGCCTGCTGTGCAAGCGCAAGGACCTGAATTTGATCCCTGGTACCAAAAAAAGAAAAATTTCTGATTGTCCCTACCTTAGCCTCCCGGAATGTGCCACCACACCTGGCTTGGTGTGTATGGTTGTTTTGTTTCGTTTTGTTGGTTTTTTGAGACAGGGTCTTGCCATGTAGTTCAGGCTGGTCTTGAACTCACCATGTAGCTCAGGTTGGCCTTGAACTCTAGGTGATCCTCCTGCCTCAGCCTCCTGAGTGCTGAAATTACAGGTGTGCACCACCACACCCAGCTCTGGGAGGCTTTTGAGAGTGGGAGAACCAGCCATGATGCCTGGTTTTCTGACTCACACTCTGACCCCTGACTTCCTCCTCCACACAGCTGCCTCCACCTTTGTGGTGCCTACTTCTGCCTCAAATCAGCACAGCCAGCTGCTGGCCGGCCCCTGCCCCACACACCTTCTCACCAAGCTGGTGCTGCTGAAGCACTCAGCTGAGCAGGTGAGTTTCCCCCGGACTCAGGTCCTTGTCATGCTGCTCACCATACTGGGAGCCAGTCCAGCTCAGGGCAGAGGCAGCGAGGCCCAGGGAGAATAAGACACTGCTTAGTGGATAACTCCTGAGACCTCTGCAGTAGGCCAAGTTCCCTGTGAAGCACCTGGCAGAAGTCTCCATTATACCTCTAATGACCTCTGCTAATAGTGACAGCAGCTGTCACTCAGCATGTCCTGTGTGCTGAGCTCGATGCCAGAGGCTTTATATACCTTGAAGGCTTTGTATACTTCATAAGCTTCGCCCAACACAGAAAGGAAACAAGCTTAGAGACATGCATGGAGTTGTGTGCTGAGAAGTGAAGGACAGACCATGGCCCATCTCACTCCTTGCAGGGCTCTTTGTGCTTCCTGCTGCCTCGAAGAGCCAGGGAGTAAGTGGGGAGGGGTCCCCAGAGCGAGGGGTGGCTCAACAGGATCCGGGGTCCCCTCTCAGTGTACAGAGCTGTGAGCTCGCATTTTAATCTGCCTTGCAGGACCGGGACTTCTTGAAGAATGAAGAGTTCTTCCTGGAGGCCCTGAAGAAAGCGCCCTACAATCTGGCGTCCAACTGAGCCTGAGAGGGGTGGCTGCGCCCTCAGTGCAGCACCAAGACCCAGCAGCTCTCCTGCCACCCACAAGCCATCAGCTCCTCAGGGAGGCGCGCACGAAAGCTGGGCACTGCCCAGGCCACTTAGAGCTCTTCGTGGAAATGGTGCCAGCGTGTCCTCTCCAGGAGCTGCGGCACATCCCTCTGGGGCTCCAAGGTGGAGCAGGAGGCTGAGGGGATCGTGACCACCAAGGCCAAGGAGCAGGGCTGCCTGAGGTTTCCAGGAGGCAGGGGCCTCCCCCAGCCCTGACTGGGCCCGTGTACCCTTCCCTCTTCTGGCACAGCTGCAGGAGGGGTCGTCTTTGTGCCTGGGCCCCTTCTGAGGAGGGTCCTTTTCTCCAGGGATGCCATGAGCAGACTTCCACTCCTCCCAGCAGGGACAAAGAAGGGCCTTCTGGCTTCCTGGGAGGCCTTGCGGGATGGGGAGGGTGCTGTGCCCAGCCAGATTCCTCCCACACTGTGATGGGCTTCTGGGATTCAGGCCCCTCCAGAACCAGAACCCCCTGCTCTCTCTGGTGGGCTTGTGCAAAGTCCACCTCTCAGCTCCATACTGCCCACGTGACCGCCCCGCTCAGCATGAACCCTGGCGTCATCAGCTGCTCCTTCCTCCTCATGCAGGCCCCCATGAGAGGTGGGAGCAGGGCTGTGGGCAGTGGTGCGTGGGGGGGGGGGCAGAAGGAAGCCAGCCAGAGCCTGTGCCCCAGAGGGAGGAGGGAAGTGATGGGGACCTGTGAGGGGCCGCACACACCCAGGCTGCCGTTGCTCGCATGCCTTTGCTATCAGTGGTGTGCCAAGTCCTCCTGGAGGGGCATCAGGAAAGGGTGCGGGGCGGGGGCAGTGAGCGGGAGGGTAGAGGAAGAAAGTGCCCTGTGGGTGGGTGGGGCAGAAGTGGCAGCATTGGTGTCTGCCCTGCAGAACAGCTTTCAGAGGGACCTAGTTTATTTGCCAACAGATTGCAGCTTTGGTCTCAGACACATTAAACTGCTCTATTCTTTTTGCATTACTGTTTTTGGTGTTGTTTTGCCTTTGTGGTACTGGAGATTGAGCCTCAGGCCTTGCATGTCCTGGGTGAGTGCTCTGCCACTGAGCAATTTGTGGGCCGAATCTGCATTCATGAAAACCCATTGTGGCTGTGGGGTGGGGACCAGACGGGAGGGGCAAGAGTGGGGACAGGAAGTGTTAGAAGATTGTTTGCAGTGGTGCAGGGGAGGGGACAGAGGGCAGGACTCTCCCCAGCACTGCAGTGAGTTGTCACAGAAGTGTCCCCTTGGCACCTGGTGCCTGGATGTTGGTCAGAAAGGAAGCTGTCGAGGGGGACCCCTGTCCCCCCAGCTTGGGTGACTGCGTAGTGTCGCTCACCATGAGTAGCCAGGGCCCGTGGGACAGCCACGCAGAGATATCCCACAGACTCAGTGATGACGTTTTGCTGCTGCCTGTGACTGCTCTGTCACCGGCACTGAGGTGTGGCAGGCAGCCTGGTCATCCCTCACATTGCCTCTCCCCGGGGCCAGACATTTGGGGTGCGTATGGGATTGAGCGCTGGGTAGCTGCTGTGCTTTTCTCCTTCAAAATGGTAACAACTCAAGGTCATAAATGCTTCCTTGAGTTACTTCTAGAGAAATTGCGGTAGAAAGTAATAATGATAGCATTGGTATCCAGACTTGAGACTTGTTCATATATATTATTTGTTTCAAGTTGATTCATATAGAAATCCAGGATCTGCCTCTCAAATGGTAGTGTGGCAAGCAAGCCCCATGCCTAGGGGCTTCCTGGACCTGGAGAGAACAAGATGGAGGAGCTCAGGCCTGGGGAGCAGCAGGCCTCCGTGCCTCTGCCTGGACACCTGTGTCCTCGGCTGTAGAGGGGCCTGGCTGGGGTGGCTTTAGAGACGCACAGAAGGGGGTCCAGCAACAACAGGAAAAGGTGAAACCGCAAAGGGGGCCGTGGTGTAAGCACAATACGGTTCTGCCGACGCCTTCCACTCCACTTCAGCAGAAATTGCACAGTAAGCAGCAGCAGCTCCTAAGAGCAGGGCTGGCCTGGCTGCCCCTGGCCTGTGGCTTCCGTTGTGCCTCACCAGACAGCAGTGTACAGTGGGTGGATTAGAAGCGATGGTGAGAGGTTTAGCTGTTTGGCTGTATCCTCACTTCCTGCTGGATGGAGAGACCCCTCATTCTACCCAAGTGTGTGAGTCAAGCTTCTGCTGGTACCAGAGCAACTGACCCTGGCCCCAGCCCCATCTTGGGATGTCAGGGAAGGCTTCCTAGAGGAACCACTCTAGTGATGCTCCCCAGGACACAGAGGGAAATGTGAGGTAGAAAGCAGAAGTGACAGCATGTGCGAAGGCCCTGTGGCCTGGGGACCAGTGTGTGCAGAGGAAGTGGAGGTCTGATGCACTGGAAGCTCTTATTCCAGGACAAACCGCCAGAGGCTGGGTCAGAAGAGAATCCAAACCACTTGGACTACCAAGTTTTACCTCGTTAGAACTGGATCCCAAGAGCAATGCAGATCTATGCATGACATGTCCCTGATGCTGTTGTGTGGCTTAGTGCCAAATCTAAGATGATCGAGAAGAGCCACACTTAGACCAGGCTCACTGCCATGTTAATTCAAATTTAACGACCCTACAATGTCATTACCTGCTGTTTTTCTCCAGTGAGAGAACTACAAGGACAATGGGAAAGGTCACAATCTGGAATTTAAACCCAAGCAATCTGAGTCCAGAATCCAGCCACGGGCCCTACGCCTTCCCGCCCCTCCCGCCCCTCGTCCCTGGCCCCTGGCCCCTGATTTGCATGCCCAGGGAGCTCAGGACATCTCATGCAGGGTTCGGAGATATAGACGCAGAGACTCATCGCGGTTCTGGGTGCTCCAGGTGTGTGCCGCTCCCTGGCGGCCGTTCGTAGCTCTGGCACACCAGGCACTCCCGCAGTCCACAGGCCCCGCCCGCCCTGGCAGAAGGCTTTCAGGCCTCGGAAGCGGTCTCGGGCCGAGGTTTTAGTTCCCGACAGCGGCGCGGGGCGGAGCCCGGCGCCGGGGGCGGGGCCGGGCGCGGGGCCGCTCAGGCGCTGCTTCAGACACCTCTACTGGGGTCCTAGCAGCGGCGACGGCTTGGGGAAGATGGTGGCGCCCTTTTGGCGGGCTGTGCTCTACGAAAGTCTGGGATGGCGGGGCTTCGGCACCTCGGGTGAGGGATCCGGGGTCCTGGGGAGCTCTTGGCCCCTTGTTTGAGGCAGGCCTCACCCCCTGGGGGCCGGACTGGAACCGGCGTGATGCCTCTCTCTCTGCCTGCAGCTGTCCTGGGCCGCCGGACCCCCCCTCTGGGGCCGATGCCCAACCAAGACATCGATGTGAGCAACCTGGATCGGCTGGAGAAGTACAGGAGCTTCGACCGCTACCGGCGCCGGGCGGAGCAGGAGGCGCAGGCCCCGCACTGGTGGAGGACCTACCGGGAACATTTTGGGGAGAAGACAGGTGCGGGGCGACAGGAGCTGGAGCTATGGGCAACGGCCTCAGATCTTGGGCTGGCACTTTCCCCCCACCGAGCGAGCCTGATCGGCGCCCCTGTGTGCACCTGGGCCGGGGAGGGCTTACCTGCACTCTTCGTGCCCTGTAAGCCGAGTAGTCCCGCAAGGAGTTTTCATATCTTTTGCCCCCCCGGCTTGGAAAATCATCTCTCCACTATCGGAGTTCCAGATTCTAAAATATGTATTCCTAAACCCCTTTTCTGATAGCTTCCCCATTACGATTGGACGCCCGTCTGTTTCTGAAATATCCTGGACCCATATTCCAGACCACGGTGTATCCTGACTGCCTTTTCTCACCTTTCCTCAGATCATAACCACAGCAGTCACCTTTGGGTCCTTGCACTCTCACTGTGCCTGGCACCATGGATCCAGGACTTTGCATAGTGAAATTAAAGCCCTGAGCAAGGTGACTCAAAGATGCAGTCTTTAAGGAACTTACCAAGTACATCCATTTTGAAATCATTTATACGTAGTAGTTGTTATGGTGTTAAGGGCACAGCACTAATTTTAAACAGCCTGATTAAAACCCCAGCCTGCCCTCTTAGGAGTGAACATCCCTGAGGTTCAGTTTCTTCAATCCTAAAATGAAATAATTGTGTCTCTTATCAGATTGCTGTGAGGTTTAAAGGATACAGCCTGTTGATGGGGGAGGGCTGGGACTGGGGATTAAACCCAGGTCTTTCCACTGAGCTACAACTCCACCCCCCCCCCCCTTCTTTCTTGAAACGGTTTAAATCGGTGGTGAACCTTTGGAGGTTTAAAAGGGAAACGTGTTGTTTCTCTTTTAAGACAAAAGATGTTAATGTAGAGTTGTTTTTTCTAAACTAAAACCTCAGTGTTCAGGTTTAATTGTAGTGTTCGCACCTTGCAATAAATGAGTTTTGGGTTGCAGCTTGAGCAGTCATCCCTAAGTTTCACCTTCACTGAAAGTCATTACGTTGCCAGGCTAGGCTTTCCATCTTCCTACCTCAGTCTCCCAAAAGTGTTGGGATTACAGGTGTGCACCACTGTGTGGGCTCATTGAAATTCTTAGACTAATACCATCCCCCATGCGTAATACGTGTGTGTATGTGTGTGTGTGTGTGTGTGTGTGTGTGGTAAAAGGACAAAGGTGTTGGATTGAAAGTTTTCTAGCGCTTTACTACTCAAAATTGTGTCTGAGACACTTACCTAGGAGCTTGTAATTTCTTAGCTCATTTGTATGGTTTATCTGCCCATTAAAGTGTAGAAGTGCTCCTTTAAGTCTTAGCTTCAGCTGTTCATTCCACAGAACACAGGTGTGTGTCCATTGCCCCTGTGAGTCAATTTGAAGGTGATCCCGAGTGTAATTAGAATGACCATCTTTCTCAATTGCCTGTGACTTAGACAAGACAGTGTGACCTGGTTTAGGGAACCCAAACACAACCTTACCTTAGGTCTGATTTGCTGAATGGGCCCTGTTCGCATCTGGGGAGCTGAGTGTACAGTCTTTGGTTTTGTGAATCAAAAGGAAACCTCCAGCAACAGAGCAAGAGGACCAAGTAGGGACAGGAGTTTAACCAAGAGAATCCTGCTTCCTCCAACACATCTTCCTTCCCCAGATCCTAAATACAAGATTGACATTGGGCTTCCTCCACCCAAGATCTGCCAGTCGCAAAGGCTACAGGAGCGGAAACGGATCCTCCAGGAGCTTCGAGCCAGTGTGGAAGAGGAGCGGGCTGCCCGTCTCCGCACAGGTAGGCCTCCAGGGCGGGGCACCATTGGTCCCCACTCCCACCCTGCATCCAACTCCTCACTCCTTCCCAGCCAGCATTCCCCTCGAGGCCGTGCGTGCAGAGTGGGAAAGGACCTGTGGCCCCTACCACAAGCAACGGCTGGCGGAGTATTACGGCCTCTACCGAGACCTGTTTGATGGTGCCACTTTCGTGCCCTGGGTCCCCCTGCACGTGGCCTATGCTGTGGGTGAGGAGGACCTGATGCCTGTGTACTATGGCAACGAAGTTACTCCAACTGAGGTAAGTACCACTCGCAGTGTCCTTTTCCCTGCCCTGTGTGTCCCCATATGCAGTGTCATAGACAGCTCCTAGGTTTGAAGTTTTGTGGTTTCTTCACGATTTCCTGGAAAATAAAACATGACCGTTCCAAAGACAATAATATAAAACCTTTGCTTGTTCCTGGGACTGGCCACTGTTATTGGAGTGTCCTCCAGCAGTGTCCCTTGGCACATGGTCCTTTTTGTGGTTCAAATTTTGGAATAGGCCATTCGGCAGGGTCCTTCCCATCAGCATCTTGGCCCGTGTACCTCTGTGAGGCTGTCATGGGCCCTGATTTGGTTCAGATTTTTCAGGAAAGAAATTCTGTCTTCAGTGGCTTGTCCGTCCCTGGTGGGAGTGGCAGCTTTCCTGTTCTCTCCCTGCCAGGCTGCCCAGGCCCCAGAGGTGACCTATGAGGCAGACGAGGGCTCCAGGTGGACATTGCTGCTCACCAACCTGGGTAGGTGTTGGAGGCTCCCCGGGCCTCCTGCCTTCTCTTCCTCCCCAGAGCCGGGGAGCTGGGGAGGGCAGGGTGGTCTCCAGGGCCTGTGGTCAGGATGTGTTTCCATGCAGATGGACACCTGCTGGAGCCAGATGCCGAGTACGTCCACTGGCTGCTGTGAGTATCTGGCGGGGCAGAGCAGGGGATGTGCAGAGAGACCCAGGAGCCTCGCAGGTGCTGCCCCTGAATTTCAGACTGACTGAGATTTTGAACTAACCTCTCACCCCAGCCAGGGACCCCTCACCTGTGCCTGGGGGTGGCAGGGGCCCTGTGATCCAGTGGACCCTTGACAGCCACAGAAGAAAATGACAATGGGCCTCTGCCAGTCCGTACATGTAACCCTGGGATGAGCCACTGCATGTCTTATTCCCAAGGAGCACTGTGACAGTCACCAGGAAAAGGACTGGGAGAGGCCTCTAGTGGCTGTGACACTCCCACACACGTGGTGAACCACGGGCATTCCTGTTCCAGGGGGTCCAGGACAGGCTGCCCTTTCTCCTCAGTGACTTTTAGCTCTGAGCACCAGGCCAAGAGGCAGAGGTCAGACAGGTGGCCCAGCTTTGGGACTTGTAGGTAACGGAAGCCAGGAGCTGGGAGGCTGGCTTCTGTCATTGTCATTCGGTAGCAGTTACCTCCCTGTGTAGCTTCAATGGCTACCTCAGTGCCAGGCTGGGCAGACTCCCTGATAATACCCAGGAGTGCCAGAAAAAGAGAGAAGCAGCCAGCAGGTTCATCTTTCTAGCCTGAGTGGCTGGGGCCGAGTAGACAGGCAGCTCAGCCAAGCTGTCATCCTGCCAGTCTCTGGAGCCCTGCTCCTCACCTCTGAGCCCTCCTGCTCTCTGCACCTGTTTGCAGTACGTCCGAGGGGTCACAGAGCTTATCATGTGCGAGTCTGTCCACTCTGAGCAGGACTTTACCCTCAAAGGCTACCCTTGAGTGGCAGTTAACAGATCCTTGCCTTCTGTCAGAACCAACATCCCAGGCAACCTGGTGGCTGAAGGACAGGAGACGTGTCCCTACCTGCCCCCCTTCCCCGCCAAAGGCTCCGGCTTCCACCGCTTCGCCTTCCTGCTCTTTAAGCAGGACAAGCCCATCGACTTCTCCGAGGATTCACGGCCCTCACCCTGGTAATCCTCGGGCCAGTTCCCCTTGGCTGTCCTCGCTCTTGACCTGGGCCTTAAGACTAGCAGAAGAGCGGGGCTTCCAGGATCGCTGGTGGGGAGAGGGTGGGAGAGGGTGGGAGAGGGCAGGGCTCGGTCACCCCTCCAAATTCTGAGCTGTCCCCATCTTCTGACAGCTACCAGCTGGCCCAGAGGACCTTCCGCACTTTTGATTTCTACAAGAAACACCAGGAAGCCATGACTCCTGCTGGCCTGGCCTTCTTTCAGTGCCGCTGGGATGACTCTGTCACCCATACCTTCCACCAGCTTCTGGGTGAGGGCGGGATGGGACTAGGAAGCGGGGTGGACAGTGCCCAGCTGGGCCTCAGCTCAGGTAAGAAGTCCACCCTTGGGCCTTCACTCCTCTTGTAGACATGCCGGAGCCCGTGTTTGAGTTTGTGCGGCCACCTCCTTACCACCCGAAGCAGAAGCGTTTCCCCCATCGGCAGCCCCTGCGCTACCTGGACCGGTACAGGGACAGTCATGAGCCGACCTATGGCATCTACTGAGGGACCACAGTGTACCCAACCTGGACGCTGGGCTGGGCTGGCAGGAACAGGAGAGGTGCAGCTCCAGAGGGTCGAGCTGTGGGGTCTGTGGCCTGCCTGAGGCAGCCCCTCTGAGCTCCTCCTATCAGGCTCAAGGCTTGCAGTGAAGAACACTGGTCGGGTGGTGGGAGAGAGGGGTGTGAATAAAGAGGTTGTCTGCCATCTCTGGCCTGAGTCTGTGTTCCAGGAATAGCAGAGGACTTCTGGAAAAGCTGTATTGCTTTGTGAGTGGGAAAGGGGCCGCCTCCCACCCCTCTACCACCTGATGGGTTCAGGGGCCCCATAATCCAGTGGCTGAAGACCAGGACAGCAGAAAAAGCAGGCAGTGAATGCCAGCTGGTCTCCTAAGCTCCTTCAGAGATTTGCTTAGGGCTGGTGTGTAGTAGCCCTTCGGTAGAGCACTTGTTAACTTCCATAGCATGCACCAGGTCCTGGGTTTGATCCCCAACACCAAAAAATAAAAGACACCTCTGTGTGGTGGCAGACTCCTGTCCCTGCCAGCCTGCTTCCGATGAGAAGCCTTGACCCAGTCACAGACCTCCAGACACAATCGCCACTCACAGCCAGGATGCCCTGACCCTCACTAGGCAGTTAGCTGTTTCTCCCCCCAACAACGAAAAGGCCCCCAGTAGGTCGCAGGGAGAGCTGTCACCTTTTCCAGAAAGAATTCACGTGTTACTTCACAGATGACAACACAGTCCTTGCAGAATTGGAGGGAGGAGGTGCCCTTGCTGGATCGCCTGGGCAGACACACTTTGCTGCGATGCTCAGGGCCCTTTTCACTCTGCTCAGCTGAAGGGGGGCGTCTGAGTTACTCCAGGGCTTAGAGCTCCAGCCCGGGGACTCATCTCGGGAGGACTCACGTGGAGAAGAGCAGCTAAATGTTTTGGTGTCTTGTTAAAGAGGCCTTATTGGTCAGAGGGGGCTGTGCCTCTAATCCCAGCTACTAAGGAAGCTGAGGCAGGAGGATTGAGCTCAAGGTCAGCCTGGGCAGCACAACAGCAGACCCTGTCTCAAAAAAGAGAGGAGCCTTAAAAAAAAAAAAAAAAGGAGCCTTTCACTGTTAACTGGTTTCCCTCTTGGTAACAGGAAATTTCCAACTTGTTTACTTCGAAGAACCAAAATTCTGCATAACCCACAGAAGGAAAACACCCAATTTGGCAAGTGCCTGAGACCCACCTCTAGGAAAAAGTGCAGCAGACTACCTGGGGTCAGGAAAGGGCTTTTATTGAGCACTAGATCCCCACATGCAGCAGCCCCGGGAGGTCAGTTCTGATGAGGCCAGAAGTTCCTTGATAGCCCTAGGAGCTTGAAGGCCTGGTGGGGTTCCCAAACCTCTGTTGGTTTGTTTTGTTTTGTTGTCGAAAGAATCTCACTATGTAGCCTAGGCTGGTCCTGAACTCATGATGCTCCTTGTCTCGGTCTCCCAAATGTTCCGATATTAAAGGAATCCGCCACCATGCCCAACTTCCAAAGCTCTGATCTTTCGAGGATAAGGCCCCATCCGCAGCAGGACTGGGCTGAGGGTCTAAGCAAGAAGGATGAAGGCGCCAGGGTGGCCCCTACTCTCCAGTCTGCGTGGCAGGAGGCAGGCAGGGGTGTCCTGGGCCCTTGAAGGCAGCGGGTCGGAGACCTCGGAGCAGGGCCACCTGGGCCACCGGAGGGTGGCGTCCGAGGGGTGGGCATCAGCGTGGCTCTGGGCGGGGCCCTGGCTCCTCCCGAGGCAGCCACGCCCTCGCGCCACCAGCAGCCGGCCCTGCCACCTCCGACATGGCCGCGGAGCTGCTGCGAGACAGGCTGACCTGCTCCATCTGCCTAGGACTCTACCAGGACCCGGTGACGCTGCCTTGCGGCCACAACTTCTGCGCGGCCTGCATCAGGAGCTCGCGGCGCTGCTGCGAGAAGGCGTGCCCCGAGTGCCGCGCGCCCTTCCCCGACGGCGCCGAGCCGTGCCGCAACGTGGCGCTCAGCGGGGTGCTGGAGGTGCTGCAGCTCGCCGTCCGGGAGCCCGGCCCCGAGCCCCGCGCCGCTGCGCGCTGCCCCCGCCATGGCCGGCCGCTCGAGCTCTTCTGCCGCACCGAGGGCCGCTGCGTGTGCGGGGAGTGCACAGTGCACGAGTGCCGCCTCCACGAGCGGGCGCTGTTGGAAGCCGAGCGCCGCGAACGCGAGGTGACGCAGCCGGGCGGCCGGGCGGCCGGGCGGCGCGGGGTCGGTGGGCAGGGGTGGGAGCTGCGACCCAGGCTTGGTGAGGCTAGAGGGTCTGTGCCTTCGACTCAGGTAACCGGCCCGCCAGGGTACAGGGTCGCAGGAGCTGCTCGGGACTGACCTCCGGGGGAATGCAAAGCCCGGGTGTGGGGCAATGCGGACCGCGGGAGTGCAGCAGGCGCCCGGGCACGTTCGTTCGTTAAGCAGTAAATGTGCCCGGACCCATTGCTAAAGAAGTCAGCTGTGAGCTCTGCCCTGAGAGACTTAGGGATCGACGTAAGGAGTCAGTGTTCCAGTAAAACCCGTATATATTACAACATGGCAGTAAATAAAGCGTGTGGTACTGTGACTGAGACAACAGGGTGACTCTGCGTGGGGGAAGGAAGGGGTGACAGGGAAGGATCTGAGGAAGTGGCCAGGCAGCATCACGGGCCTCTCGGATGGGAAGGAAAGGACAGGCCAGCTGGGGACAGTCGGGTGAGGATCCTGAGCAGAGCCTTTCAGTGAGCAGGGGCCAACTAGGAAGGGCCTGTGAGCCGGTGAGGACTTGGCACTTCCTCCCAGGGGCACCAGGAGCCTCTGCAGGCTTGGGCAGGACCGTAAGCAAGCAGACTGCTGTTTGTGAGGAAGGAGAGACAGGAGGAGTCGACTTCTCTGAGCAGGTTTCCTCATGGTAGTGAAGGTGGGCATGGTCCCCACCTCACAGTTGTGTTGGGAGGAGCAGAAGCAAGTAGTGAGGCTCCAGACTAGGTGGAGAGCAAGTCCCGGGGTGGCCGGGAGCAGTACTCCCAGCATCAGCATGGTCTGCCATCTCGAGAGAGGACAATGTTTGGATCCTCAAGAGACATGGGGCACAACCAGATACAGCCCCCTGCTTCCCCTTTGCCCATTTGTCAAAAGCTCTGGCACTCTGGGTCTTCGTTCCTTCCCGGAAGGGTGGCCTGAGCCAGCATCCTGCCTCTTGCCTGTTGAGGGGTGGTGGTGGTGGTGGTGGTGAAGAAGGAGAAGTTATGGCCCAGCTTGCTGAGCCTGCAGAAGGCAGAAGTAGGCCTGCAAGTTGGATCTTTAGCTCCCTGGGACTGCTGCCTAGTTCTGGGTTTGTGCTGAGGCTGGTGGCCCAGTGTTGATGGCGGTCTGAGGGGACCTCAAAGCCAATCCTGCCCTCTTTTGTTGTTCAACCTCTGGGTGGGCACTGCAGGCCCAGCTGAGAGCCAAGCTGGAGGTCACCCAGCAGCAGGCCACTCAGGCCCACACCCAGCTCCAAGAGCTCCAGCAGCAAAAGAGCCAGATCCAGGTACAGGGCCTGCCGGTCACCGCATCCTGAGGGCGGCCACCCACTGGCCTCTGGGACACAGGCAGTAGGTGTGAGCTACTACCTTGAAAATACTTCCTGGCAGCATAAAGTGAGGGACCCAACAGGAAGCCCGGCCCCAGAGGGAGAAGGATCCAGGGGCCCCAGGGGCCCTCGTCCCACCCCTTGGCCCAGTGGGTGGCCCTGCCTGGCCTGCCTTGGTGTGGTGGAGGGCCTGGCCACCCTGTGGCTCCTCCTGTGCCCCTCAGAACTCTGCCTGCAACCTGGCCTCGGTGGTCTCAGGAAAGTTTAGCTGCCTGCTGCAGGCCCTGGAGTTGCGTCGGATCTCAGCACAAAGGGACATCGAGGCAGCCCAGACACAAGCGCTGGCACCAGCCCTGGATGAGGAGCAGCGGCTGAGGGGCCACCTGGAGGCCCTGGCTCAATATGGCCAGAGGGTCCAGGGCCTCCTGGAGCAGGTGGATGACCAGACCTTCCTCCAGGTACCAGGCCTCATCAGGGTGTGGGCTGGGGCCTGGCTTCCTCCCCTTGTGCCCCAGCTTACTGCTTCTGTCCCCCGGGGCTCAGGATTTGCAGCAGCTCTCTGAGCCCCCAGGACCCTTTGGACCACTGACTCCCCTGCAGTGGGATGAAGACAAACAGCTGGGCAACCTGAAGGAATTGCTAAGCCTGCTGAGTGGCCTCCTCCTGGAAGAGGGGGCCCCTGCCACAGTGCCAGCCAGGGCTCCTGACTTGGTCCCCCTGAGTAAGGCTGACCTCAAGCCTTTCCTTACCCTTTTGGGCCTGGCTGTCCTTCCATTAGGGGAAAGGAGGGAGCAGGACTTGTCCCCACTCCCCTAACCCTGTCTTGTCTTCTAGAGGCCCCAGATCCTGAGGCACAGGTCCCGAGCATGGTGTGTCCACTGAGGAAGAAGCTCTGGCAGAGTAAGGAGGCCCATTGCCTGTGTGTGTATCTGTGCGTGTGTGGGTACATGTGTGTGCATGCCTGTGTATGCTTGTGGGGGACATGTTGTGTCTGTCCTGTCCACGACTTCTGTTGCATGGCTCTTCCCTTGCACACCCGAAGCAGGACATCCTGGTCCATGTCTGCCCTGAAGCAGGTACAGCCAGCATAGAGTTAAACTACAGGTTTGATAGCTGGGCGTGGTGACACACCTGTAATCCCAGGACTCTGAGAGGTTGAGGCAGGAGGATCGCAAGTTTGAGTTCAGCTTGGGCAACTTAGCAACTTAGTGAGACCCTGTCTTGAAATAAAAAGTATAAAAGGACTGGTGATGTAGCTCAGTGAAAGGCCTTGGGTTCAGTCTACAAAAGGTTGAAAAAAAACGAAGGCCAGGGATTTAGCTCAGTGGTGCCACCACCTGCCTCGCAAGCACAGGGTCCCGAGTTCGATCACCAGTACCAAAAAAAAAAAGATGACTTGAGACCCATCCATATTCTTCCACTGAATAGTGGAATACCAAGTTAGTTTATCCCTCTGGGCCTCGATTTTCTCTGTCGGATGAAGATGCCACCCCCAAGTCTCAGTGAGGAGGAGTGAATGCAGTGGGGATGTCTAGCGATCACCTGCAGTGTGCCCAGCCACACTCTGTGGTCCAAGAGTGGAGCTGCTGTTGCCCTCTTCTGTGCACACAGGGTGACACTTTTGCCTACTTCTGCTCGTCTCTCCCCAATAGATTATCGAAATTTGACCTTTGATCCGGACAGTGCTAACCGCCACTTCAGCCTTTCCTGCCAGGACCAGCGGGTGACGCACTGTCGCAGGTCTCAGGGCCCAGCCCGGCTGGGCAGCTTCGAGCTCTGGCAGGTGCAGTGTACCCAGAGCTTCCGGGTGGGGCACCATTACTGGGAGGTGCGCACCTCCGACCACTCTGTGACTCTGGGTGTTGCCTACTCCGAACTGACTCGACAGAAGCTGGGAACCAACACGGACAACATTGGCCGGGAGTCCTGCTCCTGGGGCCTCTGCATCCAGGCGGACAGTGTCCTGGCCCGGCACAACGGGGACTCCTGGCGCCTCCCCAGGGTGTCTGCACGGCTCCTGGGCATTGATTTGGACCTGGCCTGTGGCTGCCTTGCGTTCTACAGCCTGGAGCCACAGGTCCAGCTCCTGCACACCTTCCATGCCCTCTTCACCCGGCCCCTCTACCCAGTCTTCTGGCTCCTGGAGGGGAGGACCCTCACCCTGTGCCATCAGCCTGGGGCCAAGCTCCCTCCAGCGCCGCAGGAAGCAGCCTCAGCGCTCCATTGAGGAAGGCATGGGGTGGTGCTCTGGGCTGGGGACAGGTGCCACTGTGCCTGTGTACCCAAGAGTTGGCGGGAGGTGCAGTGATCCCAAGAGCCATTCTGATGGCTGTCAGAGGGACCCAAGAGCACAGCTCTCCAAGGGTGGCTCTTGGCCCCTCTTCTGTGTTTTGTTTGTTTTGTTCTTGTGGTACCAGGAATTTAACCCAGGACCTTTGGCCTTTGGACCAGCCTGTATCCCAGCCTTTTTTTTGAGACAGTCTTTCTAAGTGTTTATGTTGCCCAGGCAAACTTAACAATCCTCCTGCCTCAGCCTCCCAGAGTGTTGGGATTGCAGTTGTGTTCCACCACTCTCAGCTGGCCTCTCTGTTTCTGTTTTTTTCGCGGGGGGGGGGGGGGGGGGTTGGTTGGTACTGGGGATCGAACTTGGGTCCTTGCGCTTGCAGGGCAGGCGGTGGCACCACTGAGCTAAATCTCCAGCCCTCTGTTTCTGTTTTTACACTTTAAAATATGTGCAGTTTATCTTCCATCAAATATATCTCAATAAAACTGTAGAAAAATGAAGTGAACTAAAATAAAGGGAAGGAAGAAATGGTGGTCCCGGATCCAGCATTCACCTCTCCCACTCACCTGAAGCCTTTCAGTGAGTCCCCTGGTCCCCAGTGCTGGGCTCCAACTCCTGTGGCTCCCTACTCGCCCAGCTTCCACAGGCAGACTGAAGGCCCCCAGTCTGTTTGGAGGCATGGAGTAGCTGGGAGGGGCGTGTCCAGGAGGCCACCCCAGCTCCTGCCAAAGGGGTCTCAAGCAGCAAATATGGAAGGGACAGGCAGGGACTTGGCTGGGCAGACATTCTGTCCTTGAGTCTGGGATCAGGGCTGGACAAGGCCTGCCCCCAGATGTGGCCCTGCTGGGCTCTGCTCCCCTCTGTTGACAGGCAGCCAGCAGCCTGCACACCGGAGTTCACCTTTCCAGTCCCTTTGTAGGGAACGGCGAGCAGAAAGGGTCCCAGGTCTCACAGCCTGAGCTGCTGTGTGACAAAATAACACATACCGACCCTCATTTACCTCCCCTGAGACCACGTAGACCGAATCAGTGTGTGGGGAAGTGAACCTCCAGTGATTCCAAGAGAAGTATTCAAATGACTGTCAAATTTCTTTTCTTTTTGACTGTCAAATTTCTTTACCTGTCATTAGACATTTAAAATATTTTTGGCTACCCAGGCGGGGTGGCACACACCTGTAATCCTAGCACTCCAGAGGCTGAGGCAGGAGGAACTACGTAGCAAGACTGTCTCAAAAGAAACAAAAACTTATTTTTGGCTATAAAATAGCGCCATGATGAGTATTTTGATGTAGGAAGCCTTGGACATATTTTAGTTACGTACTTAGACTAAATTCCTGAAGCAGAATTATTTGTCAGAAAGCTGAACATTTGAAAATTTTTTAATTTTGTTTTGTTTTTGTGGTACTGGGAGTTGAACCCGGGGCCTTCACACTGAGCTACATCCATAGCCCTTTTTAATTTTAAGACAAGGTTTCACTAAGTTGCCCGGGCTGGATTTGAACTCCTAGTCCGCTTGCCTCAGCCTTCCCTAGTGCTGGGATTACAGGTGTGCAGCATCTTGCCAGGCTGCCATTCTAACAGGGTCACAGAGAGCAGTACCTCTTAACACATCTCCCAGAAGTCTTCCGCAGTTCACTCTGCCCGCTCTGATGGCCGCTCTGTCTCTAGTGCAATTGCACCAGTATTAGAGGAAAAAGAGCAGGAAGTTTGGGGTGTGGCACACAGGGACATGTGAGTGGGTATTTCTGGCTTCTCTGTCCCGTCCTCCGGAGTGCCTTCCTGTTACCTAGGCTCTGGGCTGCACAACAGGGGAATGGGTATCTGACATAGGACCAGAGGCTTAAAAGACAGGGCCGAATTGCCCAGAGGGGCTGGAGGGAGTTGGGCTGGAGGCCAGGCAGGTAAGGGGTAGAAGAGACAAGGGCATGCTTTTTACCAGGCAGGAAGAGAGCAGAGTGGCCCCTGGGAAGTGCACTGCGGTGGCCTCAGACTGGCCAGCACTCGAGATTCTGAGGGGAAAGGTCCCCACCTTACTCCCAGGGCCCATCCCAACCCTCAACCAGGGGACGCTGGCAGCCCTTGGGACGTGCTAGAGCACTGACTTCCCAGCCCTGAAGCCAGCCAGGCACGGTGATACACGCCTGTACTTCCAGCACTCTGGGAAGCTGAAGCAGGAGGATCACAAGTTCAAGTCCAGCCTGGGCTACTCAGCCGGTCAGTGCAAAGGCCCCAGGTTTGATCCCCAGTACTGGGGTGCGGGGGGAATCCATGAAGGAAAGGAAGGCCTGTGTGGTGGATTAAGTAATGTTAAACTAGGAATGCCCAGCTCAATTGAGTTAGTGTGGTTCTGGGAATGGTAGACCCACCTGAGGATTGTTACCAACCACATAAGAGAAAAACTGAGAGGGAAAATAGGATGCCATTGATTTTCCTAGAGAAGCTTGGCGTGGCTGGTTTTCCTAATACGAACTTGGGTGTTCTCATCATCAGAGCAGCTCGACCTCGCTGTGGCTGGGAATGACTGCTGTTCTTTTCAGGGGAGCCCTGATCTTCACCTTGAGTGTCACTTCCTGGCTCCAGTGCATTTCCCTCAGCCTGGTGGCATAGACCCTTCACCCCACCAGCGCAGACTTTCTAGCTTCCCTCACTGGCCTGTGGGCCTTCCCGGTGCAGATCCTTGATAAGGACTTGCATGAGACATTGCCTGGGCTCTGGGCCTCTGGCTGGACTCCTGGAGGTCATTGCCTTGGGCTCTAGGCTTTCAGCTGGACTTGTGCGAGACACTGCCATGGGACACAGGCCCTCGGCTGGATTCTTCAGGTCTCTAGCATGTGGACAGACCTCTCACACTCCTCTCTGCATTTGAGTTTTGAGGTGAATATTACAAAATAATCCTGTAAATTATGTGTCCTGTATTAAATCTATTCCCTTACAAACCCCTGATTACAATAGCCTGGCAGCCAGGAAAAAAGGAACTGACCACCAGAGAGAAGTGATAAAGCCCCTGAGCATGAGCACAAAGATCTACATGGCTGGGCAAGACTCCTAATCATGTGACTCAGCCATGTGGCAAAGAGGCTATAATAACCCTTAAGAGTCTAAGCTGGTCACGAACACAGAACAGGAGCCTGAAGCAAGTGGGCGCTGGGTCTGGTGTCTCCTGTTTTTTGTTATACCCTCATGAAATTGTTTACTCTTTAACCTAATGTATTAATTTGATATAAATACAAACTTTTCTTCTTAAACAGTATTAGGGACTGAATCCAAGGCTTTCACACTGAGTTACATCTCCAGATTGTTATTTTTTGTTGTTATTGTTTTATTTTGTTTGTTTATTTTGAGTCAGGGTCTCATAAGTTGCTAAGTTGCCCAGGCTGGGCTGAAGCTTGCAGTCCTCCTGCCTCAGCCTCCTGCATGCTGGGATCACAAGTGTTCATCACCACACTACACCAGGTTTGGTTTGTTTTTGTTTCTTTTTGACACAGGTATGAACAGGTTCCTGCAGAGCTCACAAGTTGCCTTTGTCCTAATAGCCACTTCATTTTGGAAAGATTGCAGACACTTGGCAACAACTGTGAAACAGTGGTAATGGAAACAAGATGCCAGCATCCTTCGGGGCATAGTGGTTCATATCTGTAGAGCCAGCTGTGTGGGTGACAGAGGCAAGAGAATCACTTGAGCCCATGAGTTCAAGATCAGCCTGGGCAACATAGAGACCCCACCTCAAGAAAGACAGGAAGGGCCAGGTCTGGTGGTGCACACCTGTTCAAGGCCAGCCTGAACACCTAGCAAGACTCTGCCTCAAAAAACCAAAAAGAAAGCCAGGTGTGGTGGCACATATCTGTAATCCTAGTGGTTGAGAGGCTGAGGCAGGAGGATCACCATGATTTGTTTTGTTTTGTTTTGTTTTTTGAGGCAGGGTCTCCCTTTGTAGTTCAGGCTGGCCCTGAACTCACTATGTAGCCCAGGCTGGCTTCGAACTTTCAGGATCTTTCTGTCTCAGCCTCCCGAGTGCTGGGATTACAGGTGTGCGCCACCACGTCCAGCAGGATTGCCATGAGTTCGAGGCCACCCTTGACTACATAGTGAGTCCAAGCCCAGCCTGGACTACATAGGGAGACCCTGTCTCAAAAAAAAGAAACAAGGAAGAAGGGGAGGGAGGAGATGCCAGCACTCTGACAACACATTTCCATGCTTTCCTCCTGGGGGAGCAGATCTCCCCAAGCAGAATGTCAGCAGGACACCTCTCTAGGTACCCCTCAACCTGAGAACTCCCCTTCAGAGCCAGGTGGATATGTGGTGTCAGCAAACCCAGGTGCCTGGCTGCCAAGCCATGGAGCAGGGTGGTGCTGACCCTTGAGTCTCCTGACCCTTCTTGGATCTTGGCAAACAAGCGATGGTTGTGACCAGGGCTCCTGTGGAAACCGACGTATGGAACTCATTATCCGACTTCCTGCCAAGCTGGGTGCGCCCAGGCTACTCCCGCTGCTATTCCTTCTGTCCAGAAGATATTTTCCCACCCTGTCCCACCCACCCAAGTCCTAGCCGCCTGCCCAGGACAGCCCAGCTCAAATGTCACTCCCATAATCCCCAGCGTTCCCCATGATTCCCAGGCAGGGATTGTACCTCTGTTTGGGCACTTCTTCCCGAGGGAGGGACCGTGACTAGAATGTGTGTATCCTCACAGAACTCACGTATTAAATTAATTTCTCTTCTTTTTCTTTCTCCCTTCCCTCCTTCCTCCTCCTCCTTCTTCTTCCTCTCTCTCTCTCTCTCTCTCTCTCTCTCTCGGCAGTACTGGGGATTGAACCCAGGACCTTCACACTGAGCTACATTCCCAGCCCGTTATTTTTTGAGACAGGGTCTCACTGAGTCACCAAGTTGCCCAGGCTGGGCTCAAACTTTCAATCCTGCCTCAGCCTCCCAAAGTGCTGGGACATATGTTGAAATCTTAACCTCCAAGGGTTAAGGAAATAGGGATGTCCAGAGATGACAAGATCATGAGAATGGAGCCCTCATAAATGAGATCGGTGACCTTAAAAGGGGCCCCAAAGAGCTCCCTGGCCCTCTCTCTGCCATGTAAGGACACGAGGAGAGGTGGCCAGTCTGCACTGCAAGAGGGCCCTCATCAATGCACGGTGCTCCCCTGATCTCTGACTTCCACACTGCAGAAAGAAATGTCTTGTTTATGGGCCATCCAGGCTCTGTTCTCTGTCACAGTGGCCATGATTGCAGCAGGGGTTATCCTGCACAGGCCAACCTGGACAGTACACTGGCTCCCAAGCCTCTCCCATAGCCCATCACCAGCCCAGACCAACAAA